ATTCCTTGGAAGAGAAACTTGTAGGAGCAGAAAAAAAAAATTCCTGTTATTCAGTTAGCTTAACAGCTATTGAATGTACTACAGTGGGTCGCTCTCTTCACTGAGAAATGTTATCATGAGGGACTTAAACAGGAGGTGGAGATAGAACATAGAGAAGGAAAGAGAGGAGCTAGAGGACAGAGACCTAAACAAATTGGTACCCAAGTTTCATTAATCTTACTACTTCAAATACAGTTTATCTTTTCATTAAGCATTATCTTATAAGACAATGTCAGAGAAAGTCCTTCGTATTAAATGTGATTACTTAAATATGCCTGACTGCATTTTATGTAAGTCTTTGCAAGAGAAGGGTAATGCAGTGTAGAAGGGCGGAAAACTATGCGTGCCGGTCCTGAGCACAAAGCCATTTTGGTTTCTGGAAAAAATGACCACCATATTTACTGCTGTAGAATCCACTTATTGTATGATTCAGTTCCAAATCAGGTTGTGTATTTCTTCAGGAGCATCGTGCTTGAAATCACATGAGAATAAACTTAAAAACACAAACAAAATCAGTGGAAATACAACTAGTATCCAACAAGACATAGCTATTTGGAAATTAGTGATTTTTTCATAGAACCTTAAAGATCATTTAGTTTCAAATCCCTGCTATTGGCAGGGAAACCTCCTAGAGACGAGATTATTCAAAGCTCCATCCAGCCTGACCTTGACTGTTCCCATGGAGGGGGCATCCACAACCTCACTGGGTAACTTGTTCCAGTGTCTCACCACCCTCACAGTAAAGAATTTCTTCCTGATTCCCAGTCTAAATTTACCTCTTCCTTGTCCTGTCAGTACATGCCCTTCTAAAAAGTCCCTCCCCAGCTTTCTTGTAAGCCCCCTTCATGTACTGGAAAGCCGCTATTAGGTCCCCCTGGAGTCTTCACTTCTCCAGGCTAAAGAGCTCCAACCCCCTCAGTCTGTTCCTGCAGGGGAGGTGTGCCAGCCCTCTGATCATTTTTGAGGCCCTCCTCTGGAGCTGCTCCAACAGCTCCATGTCCTTCTTGTGTTGGTGGCCCTAAAACTGGATGCAGTACTCCAGGTGGGGTCTCACGAGAGCAGATTAGAGGGGTAGAATCACCTCCCTCAACCTGCTGGTCATGCTTCTCTTGATTGCAGCCCAGGATTCTGTCAACCTTCTGATCTGCAAGTACACGTTGCTGGCTGATGTTGAATCTTTCATCAACCAGCACCCCTAAATCCTTCTCCTCAGGGCTGTTCTCAAGCCATTCTCTGTCCAACCTGTATCTGTGCTTGAGATTGCCCTGACTCAGGTGCAGGACCTTGCATTGTTGAAGTTCATGAGGTTGCCATGGGCCCACATTTTATACGTGGTTAGCACCATATCTAAAATATGATCTGCCTGACCTAATGAAATAGTTAAGAAGTGCAACATCCTAAATTCAAAAGCTACTATTTCTTTCCCAATCAATTACTTAGAAAACCAAGAAGAGTATTTGAAAAATTCAGAGAAGTGGAGGAAATTAAAGTAAAACTAAGATATTTTTTTAGTAAAACAAAAATTAATTTTGAAATAATATTGTTTGAGATTAACTCAACTTTACATAATAAGAAATATATTAGAACAATATTTCCTGGTAAACACGAACTGTGCCAGACACTTTTAAAGTATCAAAAAAAAAAAAAAAGAGAATTATGTAGAGTAATGCCAATTTGGTTCTGTAAAACCAGTCTTATCCTCTTATTCTTCCTCAAAGTGTGTTCTTTTTTTATTGTCTCTCAAATACAGAAAGCTGCCTATTCAATAAAATAAATAGGCAATAAAAAGGAACACCCCCTTGGGTAAGAAAGAAAAGACACAGCGCTGGGACAGTTCTGACCTAAGGTCTTACTCAGTAATCACCATGCTGCTCACACATCAAAATAGTTTGGATATTCATGTATTTAAGTACAGTGGGGTTGCTACAGCAACATCATGTACAATGCACAACTCCCATTGCTTTCCCAACTGCAGCTGTAAGAACTAGTTCAAACATTTTTTATATATATATATAATTTATTATCAAGTGCAAACTCATCTCCACTCAACAGCTTGTCAAGCTGCTCACAATTTATAACAAAGCTGAAACACCTACCACCAATCCTACACAATATCTGGGGACAAGCCCCAACAGGTGTGCTATGGGAATCTGTGTCACAGACTGTGGATTTCGTATCTCTTTGATGTAACTTTGGCATGTTCTAACACTGTAGTCAAGGTAGACCATCACTTTTTCTAAACACAAGACATCTACCAATATTCCTAGTTGTGACAGGGCATAAAAAGGCCATCCAATTAACAGTAAAAGAACAGTAGTTAAAACAAAACAAATGGCCACAGATGCATTTTGTCTTGGCCACTGTTTACTAATGAAAAACAATTTTACTAATAACTTGTCAATCTGTAAAATGGCATGCAAAATAAGGCTTTTTCTAATATCAATATCTAATACCAACATATATCGAACTGTTACAATTGATTTTACTTTTACTCAAGACAATACTTGAATAAGCATCGATTTTGGAAAGAGCAATTTTAATCTGATAATTTTGTTTTCCACTCTTGCTGTTTGGGAAATTGTTATATATCAGTGCTTCATAAACCCTCGTAATTATCTCAGAAGGCCTACATACCATCTGGTATGCTCATCTTTATCACTGCCAGAGCAACAAAACTGTAATTTAAGTAAAAAACGTGTCAAATTTAACAGCTCTAATATTGCATGTACCGTAATTCTCTATGTAAATAGATTATTTTCAAAGTTCTGCTCCTTAGGTTTACAACAGGGTTCTTTAGAAGATCTCACAAACCATCCTCCAAAACAATAGCAGACAGCAATCTGTCAGATCTCCTGCAAGCATTAGCTAATTGGCATCACTAGCACCTCAAGGAAAAAAAAAAAAAAAAGTTTTGACTGCTTTGCTTGCCAAGAATTCCGTATAGCGTGCTAACAATACTGATACCCTCCAATACCTCGTCCTTTCAAGTTCGAAGTGCTGTGAAAAACTGAAATAATCTGCTGCAGCAATTTCCAGATTCATGCTAATTCCTGTTAACACAATGCTTTTTAAAATCTAACACATTTGAGAATGCTGAATTTCATCCCTTTCATTTTCACTGTTTTCTTAGCTTTCACCTGCATTCTTTTTCAAGTTCTGGAATTCGTGTCTTTTCCAACCCCTTCCCTCCAACCCTGCCATGCCCTGACATTGACTGAGTGATGGATGGAGAGTCAAAAATACAGACTGAGTAGACACCAGCCTGTTGGGTTTGTTATTAGGCGACTAACCGGGGATTCGGGCTGTCATGGTGCAGGCAGCTGGACTGTCTCACGATAAGCACATATGGGAGTTGTTCAGCATTGTGGTAGGTGCTTGGAACAGTGAGTCCATTGGCCTTGAGGAAGAAATTAAGAGAGGAAGAAGGAGCTGAAGGACGAAGATAAGGAACAAGAAGATGGACACCACCTGGAGATGGCCGCCACGGAACAATGTAACAATGAAGGGCCAGTGGTAGGACTGGTGCTGGGCAGCCTAGACTGATACCCACCAATAAGATTCTGACAAGTGGACTGTGGAGGGTAGATAAGATACTGTTGAATTTCAATAAAGCCATTTTGCAGCATCCCCATATTGGTGTCTGTGTTGCAATGGCCCTAGCGAGGAGAGATTGCGGGTAGAGCAAGGAGAGATTGCTAGTCCCTGCAGTGAGGGATCCTGAAATGATGGCATGTCTGCAGCACTAGCCTGTACATTTGCTTTCTCCAGAGCTGTCTTCCTTTCTCAAGACTTCTAACACTTCTTTAGCAGTTGACTTTGAAGTCAGTCAAGCAATGTGATTTAACATCTATTACTCATTAATTATTCTCTTCTTGAGGCAAGAATGGGCTGTGGGTTGTCTGGCTTTTAAAACTATTGAGGCTTTCAAGTGTTGATGTAAATCTGTGTGAAACAATCATGTCAGATGTGCTGATGCTAGTACTAATGAACTGCAAAAAGTGATGAGATTTGTGATGGCTATTAGATCCCAGGAGGGAGCTGATCCCACACCTTCTGATGGAAGTGTCTACCTGGTCCATCTGTTTTCATCCATCTTGGTTTTGGTGCACCTACAAACTGCTCTATTCCCTTTTACAGCAGTAATGAGCCTCTTAGGTGGATGGAATATGCCCGTTTGCAAATATGTCAGCTGGCAGTACCCAGATCCTGGGCAACAGGCAGATCCCTCTCCCCTTCTCAAACTGACCAATGCATTGATTACCTTGATTGTGAATTGCAAAGGAGAATTATCATAAAAAAAAGCCCAGGATGGTTGCTTTTTTATGGCACCAGTGATTCCAGCCTTGCACTCATCTTTCTTTAGCAGAATTTAGCCCTCATTAGATGATAACTTGGGATCATAGAATCATAGAAACACAGAATCATAGAATGTCCTGGGCTGAAAAGGACCTCAAAGATCATTTAGTTTCTACCCCTCTGCTATGTGCAGGGTTACCAGCCACTAGACCAGGCTGCCCAGAGCCACATCCAGCCCAGCCTTAATGATTTCTGTAACATCAGGAGTTCCACCACCTGGAAACCACCTTTGCAAATCCACCCACATCCATCTCTGTGGGGAAGATCTCCTCTGTTCAATTCTGTTCAATTAAGGCTACAACGGCACAGGGAGCACTAGACAATTTCTTTGCGAGTTCCCTTGAGGCTAACAGGCTTTATTGTAACAATGATGACGCTGATTTAGAAACGGGCAGATAAGACTCGTTTTATTTTTACCACCAGTATGGCCCAAGAGAGGTAACGCAGCCATAAAAGGCCCTAAGCCGTGTATTCTGTCGCAGCGCGACTGCGAGGGCCTTCCCTCCGCGTGTGGGTGTGGCGGCCCCGCCCGCCGCGCGCGGGAAACCAGCGCAGCCCCGCCCCCGCGGAGCAAAGCGCACGCGTCCGCTGTTTGGGCGCGTTGTTGGGCGGCGGGCGGTGACGTCAAAACGGAGCGCCGCGCCTGGCCGTGTTTCGGGTCAGTGCTACCTGCCGCTTCTCGGCGCGTGCGTTGCACCGCGCCGCCTCGCTGCTTCTTATCTCCGTGTGGATCCCGATGAGCGGCAGGTGCGCGAGGAGGGGAGGGCGAGTCGAGCGGGTTGTGTGTGCGTGCTTGCGTGAATGTGTGAGTGTAAAGGGGCTGGGGCTGCTCCGCGTGGTCTGCGCGTCCTCGTGGGAGCGCGGCTCTCCTCCGCTCTCGTCCCGCGGGATCAACCGAGCGCATCCCGCTTCTTCCCGCAGGTGGTGATAGACGCCGGGCTGGTGCGATGAGTCTCTTCAACCTGGACCGCTTCCGTTACGAGAAGAGGCGGACGAGCACGGAGCAAGATGGGCGGCCTGCTTCTGTAGCAGCCCAGGCCCAGGAGGATGGCAGCCCTGCTGCTGCAGCCCAGGCCCAAGAGAACAGCCCTGCTTCTGACGGCGGTGGGAACGATGCTGCAAGGAGCAGCAGGCCAGGCAGCCCAGCCTCGGAGGCAGCAGGTGGGTCAGGTGTTGTGTGTGCAGTGTGGTCTGAGTGCTGCATTGCTTGAAGTAAAGCACTCTGCCCTTCCTGTGCTGTGTGGTTTTTTTTGTTGGTGGTGGTTATTTTATCAAGATGCTTCCCTGTATGCACATTTCACATCAGTTTCCATAAAAGCATCTATACAGTGCATGCTTTGCTTGAAGATGTACATCCATGGTCACCTGATAACCAGAGATGAAATTATTTCAATCCAGGAAGCAAGCTGTGTTTAAAATATGCAAAGCATTCCTGCTTATTGATGCTCATCTCAAACTAACAAAGTTTGAGGCCTTTTCAGGCCTTACTATAAATGCAACCTTGTATAGAAGTAACTTTTCCACTAGAGTCTGAAATGAACTGGAACAGGTTGCCCAAGGAGGTTGTGGATGCCCCATCCCTGGAAGCGTTTAAGGCCAGGCTCTGGGTAGCCTAGTCTAGTGCTTGGTGACCGTGCACATGACAGGGGTTTGAAACTAAATGATCATTGTGGTCCTTTTCAACCCAGGCCATTCTAGGAATGCAATGTGGGGTATGATAGCTAAAGCTGAAGCCAGGTGTTTGTTCTTGCCTTTGTCTTTCAGCTTGGCCTGGTTTTGCAGAGAGCAGAAATGCCTGTTTGTTATCAGAAACTGATTGTGTTAGTAGTTTTGCAGCGTTTGTCCCATGTTCTGGTAATAGATTGTGGTTTTAATGGAAATATGAAAAGAACACCTTGCTCATACAGGAGTTGATTAGCTTATTTGGCTGATTTGTGGGAGTGTTGTTTGGATTCATCAGTTGATACCAGTGTCCAGCTGTAATGGCTCTCAACTACGTAATCGCTCGTGAGCTTTTTTTCCCCATTATGTTATACTGACAGCTTTTCAGTTTCTGAGGGCGTGGGAAAGGAAGAACAAAAAGTATTTGTTACTGATTGTTTTATACACCTTGGATGTTCTTACTCTGTATAACTTCTGATACAGATGTCAAGATAGAAGTGTCATTGGAGAGATCAGACAGGCTTTGATTATGTGTTTAGATAAAGAAGGAACAACAATATCTGTTGGTGTTCAACGTCATTTGTTCTGCATGCAGCTTATCCTTTGAAGAATGTTTATTGTAGTGCCTTATCTATATGATAAGAGAACTTTCTTGTAAAGGAGGAGTTCCGTTTTCTTTTAAAGGTCCCCCCGACAATGCTATGGTAGGTAATTATTTTTCTGTGAATTTTGACGTTATGCAGGTTTAATGTATTCAGTATCAGTGAAGGCTTCGTGCTTATGCCATCTTCATCTTTCACAAATATTGAGTGTTTAAAGAATTCCTGGTGGTTTTCTGACTTTTCCTCACATTTGCACACCATTTCTATGCAATGCACTTAAATAAACTATTTTAAAAATTAGGTCATGTTTTCGGAAGTCAGTAGAAGTTAACTGAAAATCAGGTATTCAAATTTTGTCTGTAACAGATGAGATACCAAAGTGTGAAAGACTAAACTACGTTGGTTTAGCAATTGCACTTTCTCCTTGTTTCCTAAATGGCATTAGGAAGACAGAATTTTTCTTTCTTTAAGTAAAACAGGTACCTATTTTTTATTTCTTGTATTATTGTGGAAAAGATGCAAAAAGAACCTGTTTATGGCACTATGTGCTTTCTTTTCTGCTAAATATCTAAGCATAAGAGTTGAGTTAATTTGTACAAGGAGCTGTAGTTAAAAAGTACGTGCTCTAATTGCTTAGTAAATCATACAAGGACAACGATTACCTGTATTCTGAAGGCCAAAGGGAAGGGTGTTTCTTAGTTCATCTGAACAAACCAAAATAACTGATTACTTAGCTGGAGGCATTTCTCTTGTCCTTCTTAATTTGATATCATATGGTTATTTTTGTATATCTAAAAGGGCTTTAAGATCAGTTTCTCAGTCTCCTTCCTTCAAGTATCATTTCCGGTGGATTTCTTTTCATTTCATTTTGCTGTGTATCCCAAAATACAGATCTAACAAAAAGATGCTATTATTGTAATTTCATTCATCTGGAGAGGAAAAAGTAGTCAGACCATGTCTCCTGGTCATGAAATAACATTATGTTTTTAACTAATTCTTGTTTTTGCCGGAGTGAACTAATATTGGTGGAGTGTCGTGCACCTCAGGTATGTATTGCTCCTTGTTGCTTTCTATGGAACATACGTACCTTACACTTCAACAAGCAGTTCTCAGTATGATGACCAGAAGAATTAGTCATCTCTACATGCTTGTATATTTTGAAAATTATGTGGGCTTGCAGCCACTTTGCAGCCAAGCTGGAGGTAGTTGGTTCTGAACATCACTTCACTGAGCGAGGATGGTAGAACCATCATCCACTGAGCGGCAGTTATTGGATTGCATTAGAGAGCTGCCTCTAAAAAGCTGGGAAAATGCATTGGAATACTTCATTAAACTTTTCTGTTGAAATTACTAATTAAATAATGCACATATTTGATTTTAATATATGGTGAAGCTGTCTTCATTTTCAATTAGGCATTTTTAATTATTTAAATAGCCTGGTGTACTGAAATGGTGCTATGAATCCAGTTGTGGAAATGAAGCAGAACTGTGGTAAAACTATATAATTAGAAGATTTACAATGAAGAATTTCAAAACTTGTGAAGATTTGTGTTCCAAAAGTGTGCTTATAAAACTTCAGCACTGAATGGAAATAAAATTTGTAGATGAAATTAAACCTTTGTGTACAATGCTATTTTTGATGATTGACTGTTGTTGTTGATAGCCTTTCTGTTTAATTCAGGTGTAAAATGCAAGTGATCGAACTCTGAGGTTCCAGTGTTCACTGACATATTGTTGCATGCACAGGGACTGCTTCTGCCTGGTATTCTTATCTGTTATTTCATCCTTGGACAGAAGATGTCATGTCTTTTATTATGTTGCAGTTCATGGAGTATCATTCTTTTTAAAGCATTTCTGAGAAAAGTAATGCCTTCAGTACCTAATGAAATTTTTCCAAGGGTTCCTGGAAAGACACATTGATGATTTAAAAATGATCTCTTTAAGAAGCACCTCAGACTTATTACTGCTCTTTAGGATTCAAATTAAAAGAGACTTTTTTGTTTCAAATAAAATATTTTTGTTTCAAACAAAAATATTGATTAGCTTGTACACTTGAGCAGCATGCCTTTGATACCTCTTTCTGAAATTGAGTAGAAATTGCCTGCCATTTGACAATTAGTTTGTTGTGCAGAGGTATTAAATATGGTAAGCCTCAAAGTACTGCTTTCGTTTTGTTTTTATTTCAGGGAGAGAAGGGCTAGCCTATGTTGAATATGATGTGTGATTGTGTTGGGTTTTTTTCCTCCCTCTTTGTGTAAGGTTACTTTGTTGTTTTCTTACCTCTGGCCTTAGAGTCAACACTGATCCTGTGATTACAGGCATTCCTTAAAAGTCCCCTTTAATCATCATGCAGTCAGGGAATTTTGCCTCCAATAATTACATGCTGTGGCAATAACTGTTTAAATGATTACTGCTATACAGTGTTATAATTTGCTCTAAACACATTGGAACCATTCCTCTTATTCTGTATGTGACTTGGTTCTTGTTGTTTTTTTTTTTTCTCATTTCTCCTCTTAAGTGATTCTGTTCCGTAGAATAGATGGAGGAAGATGCCTTTTCCAGGCAGTTAAGCATTTCACAGTTAGGAGACTTAGGAGCTGTCATGAAGAATAACTGGTATTTAAAATAAAAATAAATTAAAGAGAGCCAAAGTGAAGCAGTAAATACGCTCCTAAATCTACACTTCGTACAAGACTTGTTCTAAGGAATAAAGTAATTCTTAAGGTTGTGTTTTTTTTGTAAACTTAGCATCCTTACTGGGTTTAATCTAAGTGAAGCTTTCATGAATACCTGCCAACTGCATATTGTGCTACTTGCAGGAGGAGTCTGTTTGAAATGTGCTCTAATAAATAAAAAAAAAAATATCATGAAAATAACCTTTATCAATTCTCTTAATTCTCTGGAGCTGGAATGTCTCAATACATTATCAAGACATTATGATATTTCTATTAAATTCTTCTCATACACCTGTCAGTTCTGTGCTATTATGATAACCTTTGCTTTGCTAGCCCAACTTGATAACCTTGAGAAGTGATACACTTTAGAGTTTTTTTTGCTAGAGAGGAATTACCCTCTACTTTGCATTTAAATGTAAGAGAAGTGTGTGATACTTACTTCAGTGTCTCTCTTACATTCTTCTTAAAACGTCTGCATAGAAATGGTTTTCACATAAAGCAAATCAGACATAAACGGAACAATGTGTCTCCTACGTATGGATAGATAGAAGTACAGATGGGGAACTTCCTGCTGCCAGCGTGGTGTTCTTGGTTGCAGGAAGGCATGTTTTGGGACATGTACTGCTTGGTACTTGTAGGCTGCCCTTAAGTTTACATGTGTATGGGCTTTTCAAGACAGCATGGAATCATTAAGGTTGGAAAAGACCTCTAAGGTCATCTAGTCTACCCACGACCAGTATTTCCCCACTAAACCATTTTTCTGTGTGCTACATCTGCCCTTTCCGTAAACATTTCCAGGGATGGTGGCTTTTCTGGGCAGCCTGTTCCAATGCCTTACCATCTCTCTGAGAAAAAGTTCTTCCTCATATCCAACCTGAACCTCCTCTGGCCCACCTTGTGGTTGTTCCCTCAAGCTTTATCACTAGTTACTTGGGTCAAGAGGCTGACTTCTCCTTGCTACAGCATCCTTTCAGGTTGTAGAGTGATAAGATCTCCTCTGAACAAGAGAAGGTTCAGACTGAATAATTTCAGTTCTCTCAGCTGCTCTTCATAAGACTTGTGTGCCTGAGCCTTCACAGCTTTGCTGCCCTTCTCTGGATGCACTCTAGGGCCTTGATGAATTTCTTATAGTGGGAGGCCCAAAACTGAAACCAGTACTCAAGGTGTGGCTGGTCCTGCTGGCTGTGCTATTTCTGATGTGTGCCAGGATGCCATTGGCCTTCTTGACCACCTGGGCACACTGCTGGCTTGTGTTCAGCTAAGCATTGACCAACTACCACTGGCCCATTTCTTCCACACAGTCTTCCAGCTGTCCTGCCCTACGCTTGTAGTATTGCCTGTAGTTATCGTGAATGCAGGATATATGGAGTGCAGGACCTGACACTTCATGTTGTTGAACTTCATCCCACTGGCCTCAGCCCAGCCATCCAGCCTGTCCATGTCCCTTTGTAGGGTGTTCCTGTCCTCTGGCAGATTGACTATCTCAAAAATTATTACTGTAATCTTCTACCTCATCTGAAAGTGATAGAAGAAAGTTGAGATTTTCATGGTAAGTTTTTTTTTCCATAAAGGGATGAATCTGATCACCTGTAGTTCACTTCTGCCTTTGGCTAGCGACTGAATTCTGGTCTCTGCTGGCAGATCAGCTCTAGGAAGTGAGATTACTCTGCATAACTGAGCTGAGGGTGTTTGTTTGTTTGTTTTGTGTGTGTGTGTGTGTGTGTTAAATGACAGGAGCAGAAGAAACTGTCTTTATTTTCAGCTGTTTCCAGAGTTGGTAGCTGAGGAAAAAGCACTGGTATTTGGCTCGTAGGAACATGACTTTCAAGAAGGGTTTGGTACACTAGAGAGAAGAGCGTGCACAAGACGTTGTATTTATGCATTGAGGATATAAAATGCATTATACAAGAGCTTTAATTGACAGTTGTATCATTAAAACTCAGCCCTCCCACAAGTTCTGCAGCTATATCCTGGACTTACCTTGTACAGTTGATTTGGTCTATTTTCTTATTCTGAATTCAGGTTTCTTTTGAGTAGGAAATGAATATGAATATATTTTTTTTCCTACCCATCTGCCATCTCTGTTCAAAGTATATTATTGTCTGTCATCATTCATAATAAAATTATAAAATAATAAAACCACTGTACGTGGTTTTTGGTATTCTATCCTCTTAGAAACAACGATCAGAAACTGTTAGTAGTGGGGAGTTCCTCTTAATTCTGTACTGACTGTAAAAATGGAATTTTATGTTCTGTCATGGAGTGCAAGGCTTATCTTCACACATATGAGGGAGCACAGAGGTGGTTGGGAGAGCCCCAGCACCTCAACCTGTCCCAGCTACTCGCATGGCTGTCGTAGGAGAGCCATCAGTCGCATGAGTTGACTATGATGCCTATCACCGTAAGCGTAGAGGCCCTTGGGAGCATCATTGTGATGGTCTTAGGAGGCATGAGGCTTATTGGGGCATGTCAATAAGGACTTCTTTAGGATGTTATGGAACCTTCTGTGGTGTGGTTGGAGAAGAGCCAAAGGTGGGGAAAGAAAGGGATCAGTTTGAGGAGGAACAAGTGTAAGGAAAATAGAGGAATAAAGGGGCAAAAAAGGGGAGCTTTGTAGTTGTATCCATCTGACTGCTGGTAAATAGCAGGTCTCAGTGACCTGAGACCTGTTATGGCAGGGACAAGAGGTTCCAAGTCACTCATCTCCCTGTGCATGAAGCAGCTCATGGTGGATGCATCTCGAAACTGAAGCATGCTGCCAGGTTTTGTGTTTGGGATACAGCTGTACTCATCTGAAGAGAAGTTAGAGCTCTGGTTTTGCATGTAGGGGCAGTTGTAGAGGGATCTGAGCAAGCGTGGAGGCTTTTGTTAGTAAGGGCATGTTCTCAGCTGGCCCCTCAAACTGGTTACGATGTCTGCTGTTCTATAAGATGAACCTGAGGTTTGGTTTCCAACTGTCTTAGTGACAACAAAAGTTACCTGACTCTTGAGTGTTGACAGGTATGAAATCCTGCCATATCACATTCAGGAAGTTAGATGTTATGTTTTCAGTCCTTCTTGTCATTGCTCATTCTGGTGATTCTGCAACAGAGAAATGAGCATAGACCATGTAACAGCAGCAGCAGAAAAGAAGCAGAACTAACCTGTAGCTTGGGAAGCAGTATGTTCTTTACTATGAAAGAAAAGCAAAATCTGCATTGTCACACCTAGTACATACAAAATATGGAAGTGTCAGAGTTTTAAAATGAAAATAAAATCTGGTTTACTGTGTGCTTTCCTTTCTTCGTATTCTATTTCCATCCTTATTGGATTAATACCTGTTATTAAGTGTGTTCCATATTTTCTACAGGATCTTTGCTATGCATAGCTAAGATCTTCTGAAGATTGGCTTCAACAATTTACTTTTTTTGAGCTGTCGTTGAACTCTTACTTACATTTTCTTCGGATATTAAAGAAGTTTGAGTTAAGATCAATTCTGTTTAATTGGTGCTAATACAGTCAGTATTTAAATTCTTTATTTTCTTTTTCAGCTGTGCACTACAATACCATATTTTTTAATTTATTGGGTACCTCTCCCTTTTCAAATCCAGTATCACTTAGTAATTTCTAGTTTCTAGCAAATTCCTGTGGTTGTGCTTTTGGAATTTATCTCTGTTTCCATCAAATGCTGCCACAGTGAGTTATTTCAAGTTTATTTTCTACAAGATCACTTTTGGACAGCAGACGCTCTCTGCAGCTGTCATGTTCTCCACTCCATGCATTCTTCATCCTTTCTTCAGTCATGTACCTCCAGGGTTCATAATTTGTCTGCTCTTAAATAAAATGCTTGCCTTACCAACTGTTTTGTGTTCAGTAGTTCTCTTCAGCACAGGCTGTAAATAAAGTAGTAGAGAAAAATTACTTCCAGAATATGTGGGACTAGTGCATTGGGTCAGGCTCACAGCTTCTGCAACATGCTTCCAATACTTCAGTTACTGTCATGAAATAGCAGACTTAATACTTGGACACAACTGCCACCTCTTTGGTTGTGTAGCGTGGGTTTAACGTTGCAAGAGATGGAGGATCTACACGTTTAAGTTCTTGTGTGTCAACTACAGGTTGTTTATTTTCTAGAGTTTTCTATAGGAAGGTGGCTGAACAGCTGTAGCCTCGATACATAATGGATAGAACCACGTGCTTTAGCTTGCTCTGATTCATTTGGGAGCATCACTTTTGCAGCTATAATCACAGAAACTACTTTGAAATACACAGTATATGAGGTTGGAGCACGCTGTGCCTTTGGTAGCATGTTGAAGGAGGGCAACAGTGCAAAATATAATGATTTGCATACTTCTTTTATTTTTGTTTACAATACCGTGAACCTCTTTTTGCTTCAGGTCCAAGAACTGTTTTGTATATCGTATTCTGTGCCTTTTCCCTTTGTGGTCATGTTTTCCCCATCAAGATACATGCATGGAAGTAGCTGCAGATGTAGTTGATAATGAGACTTCATCATGCATTATTCATTGCTTAATCAGGGATTGCATGGGTAGATTGGCTGCTAGTGGTTGTCTTAAGAGCATATTCAGAAGTGAAAAGTTAGTACAGGCTAATGGAGGCGTAGCAACTCTGTTTGGAGGGTTCATGGGAAATTTATGAGATGTAATTGCAGTAACTCCTTGTGGAAACGTACAAATTCTTTGTATCGTGACAGTACACAAAGCATCCTTCCTTCTGTTGTTAAGAATCATCTGGAGCATTGTGTAGAAAAGACTGGTGAAGATTATATCTCTATAGGATTTGCAACTTTATCTGCTAAATTCCCCAGAGTAGCTTCCTGATCTTCTGCCATCTAATACTGGCATTCCCTTTCTGAAAAACTGTGACAGACGTAAGTCAGCCATCAGAAACACTGGTATGTTTCTATCCATGTCTTACTTAGCTTGAAAGTAGCTCAAAAGATTTTGCTGATGGTTTTGCCAAAAATAAACAAAAAATTAAATAGTTACTAGTCTGAAATGCATGGCCTTTTAATCTTTATGGTTGACACTATACAAACCTATATTTGTTTGAAATAAAATTGCTGAGGCAATTTTTATCAGTTAAGAATCAGTTTAAAGAATAACACTTACAGGAGTTCTCGATGCATGAAGGTGCAAGTTCTGTTTAAATGGCTGCTGTGTATAAAGAAGATATCATAGCAATTTGATGCTCTAAGAATAAATAAATATTTCAAATTCTAACTCATTTTCTCCCATCTTTTCTCCTATTGAAATGGCTACAGGGGACTCCAGCATCCCAGAAACTCCTGAAGCTGAGAGAACGAAGGAGCTGTCTTACTTCAACCATCGAAGAGGGGTACATTTCCTAGATGTGTCTTCAGACAGTGAAGATGAAGTACCAAGAAAAGTCAGTGCTTCGAAAGAAAACAAGGCTCCAAAGAAAGATGTTATTTTAATGTAAGGTTTAATCTAGTAATGTTTATGCAAATTGATGCAGTGTTTCTCAGTTGTAATGTTGAATTCAAAATAATATGCTAAATTCTCGCTTTACAGTTTGCAGTTTACCCTGCCCTATCTAAGCTTTACTGGATTTCCAAGTAAGGGGACTCCAACACCTAAGTGACTTCTCTGAAGACACGGTTTATGAGTGAGGAATTTCATGATATGGAATGATACTTGTGGTTATTATTTGTTCACACATTTGCACCTCTTATATTCTTTTGATGGCACTTGAAAGCTTACCCTTATAAGTGCTAGCTTTTTATTTTAAAATATATTGAAGTTTTAGTTGTTTTTTTAATGAAACTGTAGTGGAGTGGGAAGGTGAACACTGCTTCAACACACAGTATAAGAATTTTTTATCTTGATTTGTGTGCAGTGCTGTTCAAATGGAGTTACGCTGCTTCTGGGATCAAATAGTTTTGGAAGCAGTGCAATAGGTTTTGTGTGGTGAGGAGCAGAATGTAATAAGCCTTGCAGGATCCAGCTTGCAGCTTGCTGTTTCTACGCTGCAGATTGGTTACATGGTGAGAGAGGCAGGAAGACACCAAACCATCTCCTAGTGGGATTGGTCTGTGTCTGTGTCCTGGTTTTAGCTGGGACAGAGATGATTTTCTTCATGGTGTCTGTCGTGATGCTATGCTTTGGCTCTGGGAGAAAAAACACACTGATAACACAGGGATGTTTTTGTAGTTTCTAAGCAGCACGGCACAGAGCCAAGGATTTTTCAGTTTTTTATCTTCTTCTACTGTCCTGCTAATGAGAGGGACTGAGGGGGCACAAAGAGCTGGGAGGAGTCAGAACCAGGACAGTTGGCCTGAACTGGCCAATGGGATATTCCATCCCATATGGCGTCATGGGAAAAAACAAATAAACAAACAAACAAAAAACAAACAATAAAAACCAACCTGGGGAGTTGGCTTTTGGGGGCAGCTTCTGCTTGGGGTCTGTCTGGGTGTCAGTGTGTGCTGAGCAATTCTGTATCACTTGTTTTGTAATTATATATTATTTCTCTCTTCCTTTTCTGTCTTAGTAAATTGTTTTTATCTCAACTCATCAATCTCACATTTTTTTTTTCTCTCTCTCCAGTTCTCTCCCCCATCCCATCAGAGGGGTGGGAGGTTGAAGGGAGTGTGGTCAAAAGGCGTGGAAGCGTTTAGCTGCCTGCAGGGTTAAACGATAAGAAATACTATGAGAGGATGTGGTTCATATCTGAACATGTGCCACAGAATCTGACATGAGCCACATCCTCTCATAGTCTTTCTTATTCCTTTGTAGCTGCTTATGTTCAGTGCACAAGGTATCTCAGTGCTTAACGCTTCATCAGGGCTTATTGTCTCATGTGCTAATCAATGTATACTGAATCCACTGAGCTATCTCACAAGTGGCATTGTGCTAATAGATTGGACTCAAGACCATGGCAGGAGTTAGCTATCTGGGCTTTGCTGGAAAAACAGACAAAAACATGATAGAGTGATTAAATGAGCATTTCTTCGTGGTTTTGAATAATGTGATTAAGAAGAGATTATGTGTGCACTCTGGCTTTGTTGATGAGTATCTCGATGTTAATCCTGGATAAGAAAAGATGGAGTCATTAATTTTACTATGTCAATTTCAATTGGTGTTCTTTTTATATGCAGTTTATAAGGGAACTTTCAAGACAGGAATATGTGAAATGTGCTAATGAATTTCAATATGCCATTTTTCTGAGGCTTTTTAAAGTTTATGCTGATTTGACCTTTGAAGCTTATGGCTAGACTGATGGTTTGAATTTGAGTTATTCTTTGTTATGACCATTTTTCCTATGACAGGTTTTTGGTGGTATAAGTGCATGAGTAGTATATTACTATTATTTGCAAAATTGTAATGCAGTTTGCCTATTGCAACCACTAACGGAAGATATAGCCACAAAAATGTTTTATGTGCTTACTGGTTGGCAGCTTTTTAAGATAATGCATATTTTAGAATAAGCTAACCTTTGATAACATTAATTACAGCTCATGTGATCCTGTTTGTTTGCTTTTTACAATGACACTCCGGTAGAATAAATATAAGAAACAGCAATTTTAATACTTTCTCTGCCCCTCGTACATCATAGCTCAGAAGACTCATCAGAGGATGACCCGCCTGTGTATCAGCTACAGCAGGCGGCTTACATGAGCAATGGGGACCAACTAGTTGACTTGCAGGAAGATACAGAGGAAGACATCAGAAATGCAAAGCTACAAACACTGAAGGAACTTTTTCCTCAGAGGAGTGACAAGGATTTGTTACAAGTAATAATTCTCTGTTGTTTTTATTTATTTTGATAACTATTTTGCAGGCAGCATTCCTATACTCTGGGTGTTACAACAGAGAAGAGCCTTGATTCTTATTAGCAAAAGCGTGTATGAAAGTATTTGTTTTAGGGGAACAACAACGATGGACGTTGATTTCAATTTTTTTGTTGTTGAACTGCACGTATGTATAAGAATATTTGTTAAAAAAACAAAAACAATTCAACATTGAATTCTAGGGTATAGTAAATTTCTCTATTTATTTTATATTGACGTTCAACCTTATTATAACAATCTTGATTGGTAGCTACTGATAACATTTGGAATGCAGTTAACTGAGTGAGTGCAGAACTAATGAAATTATTGTTTTCATATTCAATAGCTGAAACACTTCCCTCTTGCTTTCTTTAGCTTTAATACTCAAAGCCCTTAAAATGAAAGTGAGGTAAAAAGAGTAAGTTTGAAATTATAATAATTTCTTATGATTGTGCTGCCATATAAAGCTGAGATACTCTTGGCTATTTTCCAACATACATCACAAATTTATCATGGTATTACAATAACTTATTACATTGTACTGCACTGAAGATAATTTTACTGTATCTTCAGGAATGTTACCTCTTAGGGCTGATATTTTTTCAATAACTTTAGTTTTCAAAGCCAAATGTGTTTAAATTAATCTGTCAGTTTTCCTAGTTGAAATGTCATTTAAAAAATACAGATTTTTTTTTTTTTTCCTTTTTCTGGATCAAGTTTTAAGTTTAGGCCTGAGGAAGAAATAGGGGATTGCAAATTTCGCTTTGGGTTTTATGTACTTTTTTTCTCTTGAAGAAATTAGGCTGCAAATATCCAGAGCGTATGGTGTTAGAATTACCACATAGAATGTATTTAAAGCACAGGTTGATCATGATTCACTGTAGCTTGGAAACTAATTAGAAATGACACTTATATGGTGTGTCTGATGCAGTTTTGTGGCTTCAGTGAGGACTAACTTAATGAGTGGTTTTAACTATGTAGTGGTTTGTAGTGGTGTTATCTATTCTCAGGAGAGCATAAGATAGCTCTTTGTATCGAGAACTTTGTAGTACAGAATGGCTGTGCAAGCTTTTTTCCGTGTAACTACAACAGTCTTGAGGGAAGATGGAATAGTGGGCAAATCTATTGTTTGTTCATGAAGGATCTGGGTCAGCTTGTCCTGACAAACCCTACATGACTGGTGAATGTTGCTAAAGAAAAACTGTGGGCAATACCTATTCTAAACCTTTTAAAATAGCTATTATAGTAAAATTATAGGGCATTGTTTACAAATGTGAATAGATGCATGGGAATCAGGTTTCCTTATTCATAGGGTTTTTGTGTGTTTGTAACCGTTAAACCATTTGCTTCTGGTGAAGTTGTGACGCTTGGAAAAAGCAGCACTTACAAGTCTCAACATTCAATTAATTTGTAGAAATTATATATTCTGAAATTAGAGGTTCATGGAGGAACAATCTAGAGTTGCAAGGATGATAACCTTTTGGAGGCATGATTTAAATTTCATGTGCATAATCTTAAAAAGTCAGCATTATGACACAACAGCATGTACAAACTTACCAACTTGAGCTATTGATCGTTTTAGATCATCTGACTTTGTAATAGTAACAATGAAGGGGTTTTGGAAAAAGCAGTTCAAGCAAACCTGCATGGCATATTTGTGAAATAGGAAGGATGGGAGGTGAGGCAGTAATAAATGAGATTTAAAAACCTACTGGAAAACGGTTTAAATAAGATATTTCCAAATACAGCTGATATAGTTGTACTCAATATACATAAAATTTAGTGACCTGTAAGTGTTGGCTTTAGATTTTACAATGCATGTCTTTTTGATGTGTGTTTTTGTGTAAGTTTTTTTGGCTTTTATTTGTCCAAATATATTTCAGTCCTGCTTGTTTATAATTGTTTTTCTCTGTTCAAATGGATTAAATCTTATCACTTAGCAGCTGATTTTTTTTTTCAGTTGGTAAAATCAACATGCTCCATGGATGAAGCGATAGCTGCTTGTTTGAAATTCGATGATGAAGGTACCTTGTTTTTTTTTTTTAAAGCAGGGGGAGGAGGAACACTTTAGAGACTACAGCCAAATTAGTAAATAAAGTTGCCAAGTAAACTTGAGGGGAGTGCAGGGGGTAGTATTTGCAAAGTGGTAAAACATGCATTAGAAGTATTCTGTTTGTTTATTGTAATAGCACAGAACTGAAACTACAGACTTTACAGTGGGAAACGAGAAGTGGATATACAGCAAAATTCAAAGATAGAACAAAAGTTTTGTTTTTTCTTCTATGTAGATCAGGATTGCTGGTTGAAGACTGGTGTCCTTAATGATTTTTGTTGTTACTGATGGCTTCCTTCTTTACTTAGAAGTTGAGGTGGACTGTAATAGGTTAGAGATAGTAGTTCTAAATGTTGCACGTGAGAAATCTGATGTGAAGAATTATGCTGGAGTAAGTAACTATTTCTAACTTATGTCAAATCTTGTGTCAAGCTCTGTTACTGTTATCGTAGTGATTTCTGTACTTGTAATTCTGAGTAAGAACTGTTGGTCTTAAACACTAGACAAATTCTGTATCAGAACATCCCCCAAGCTGTGTTTTGAGCCCTCAGCTTGCTTAGGGCATTCTTTTTCTGCATCTGAACTTGTGCAGCCTCATGATGATATCAAAAAACCCCAAGATGTGGAAATGCTTAGAAAGCAGTAAGTATGTGTTATCACTTCACGCTTCAGGTTTCTCTCTTTGACATCACTTAAGTCCAGCGCTGCTTTTAATCTCGCTTGGTTTTTGTTTTATGTAATGAATGTGTCTTTTCATGACGTATCCTATGGATTTGGAAATTGTCTCTAGGAAGCTTGTGCTGAGGAGAACACAGTCGTACTTCATTTATAATATAGATGGTTTTTGATTTATAGTATAAAAATGATAATAGTTCTTCCTGTTGTACTTGCCATGTTTTCATCTTCAGATATTTGTATACACTTCCCAGGATTTTTAACAGCTATCGTAGAACACTTTAATTTCTGGTATCTAGGCTCTCCCTTCTGGCCTTTTTTGTATTCTAAAATTATCCGGAGTTGGAAAGGACCCACAAGGATCATCAAGTCCAACATGTTTGTGTTAGTCTGTGTGCTGCTTCACATGCTGTCAATGTGAAAGCCCACAGAAGAATCTTGGCAACAAAATTCTCTTCAATCACAGCTGTTATATAAAAATATTTAGTTAAGAATGAGCATGTCTGAAAATGATGGTATAAATCATCTCATTTTGGATACAATTTTTTTTTTTTTTTAAGTGGAGACGCTATTGAACATCTGCTTATCCATGTCGATTTATGATTTACTTGTTACGAAGTGTTGACTGGATGAGAAGTGAAGGACAAGATCAAGTCCAGGCCCCTTGCACTCTGCTTCCATTTTGATGATGATTCATGTCTAGCAGTCACAGGGCTTCTTTATCCCCTCAGTTCTATGCTTCCTTAGCCTAAGAAGCAATTGTTATTTGTGCGTAGCTTGCAAAGTGAATCTCTTCAGGAAATTATTTTTCAGTTGTAGATGTGTTAGTTTTGGAAGTCCACAGAAGGATTTCTACGTAATTTTATGTGAATGAATTCCTGAGGTCATGGTTATTCAGATCCTCCACTGTGGCTTAATTGTCACTCAAATTGCTCTGAATCAGTTTTATATATTTATTTTTCCTCCGGAGACCAATGGTCATTCAGCTATTTACTTCAAAGGAGGATGGTCTTAGAAATACTCTAATGTGGGGTCTGTGTGCTTTTAGGGCTGAGAGGATTGCATGGGTCCCTGTTTGTGGCTGCAGTTAATCAGTTTGAATACAGTTCTGATTAATCGTAAACAGTTATAACTCCTTAAATTGTTAGTGTTTTACACAACAGCAACCTGACAGCCCCTAGCCTTGATATAAGACAAGGCTAAGATGCATTTGTGTCTTGAGCTACTAGTGTTTTTTTTTCCTGGCTACATTGTTTAAATGAAGGACAGAGAAGTGAAATGCATTGTTCTCTGAATGCTGAAGGAGAGCCATCTTCTTGTCCACCAGCATGTTTGCAGGATTCTTTTTGAGCTGTGCATCTTCTGTATATCTGTATTGATCTACAGAACACATATGCTTTGGAAAATCTCACTAGTAGGTACCTTGATCTTGCTAGGTACTTCATTTACTGACGATTCAGTTACTGCTGATGTTTCTTTGAGAATGGTAATTTGTTTAGTCTATATACCATGTCTCTCTTTCTCATCAGAGAGAGTGAATGAGTCTATTAGAAAAGTATTTTCATACAAAAAAGTGTGTTAGTACAAATAAGTAGGTATTTTGTTTTTCACAACTGAAACTATTTTGACATTTCAGATAGTCTTAAGGGTTTGAGGGTTTGAAAGCAAGTTTGCTGTGTGTGTGTGTGTGTGTGTGTGTGTGTGTGTGTGTGTGAGATCAGCTCTGCTTGTTTGCTGACTGTCCTTTGGCTGTCTGGGAGGTGGGAGGGGAGGTTTGCTGCAGATGCTGATGTAAGACATCAGAGCTCTGTTGGTAATCTTCCAAAAAGGTTGACTGCCAGTAATAAATCAGATCATCAACTAGGAATATTTAAAATATTTTGGGCTATAGTAAAAAGGGAGCATTCATCTAGGAACAGTTGTTGCTTCAACCCAAGCTAATGTGGAGAAACAGCAATAATGTGTTTTTTAACTTTATGAGCTGTGCACAATGGCAACTGAAAATGCACCTGACTGGACAGATCTTAATGCTAAGATGATAATCTCTGATAATCACCCAGACCCAAAGATATTCAGAAAGTTCTGACTCACGTGAGCTAGTCATAGGTAATTTAATGCTCATTGATAATTAGTTATCTCTGACTTACTATGCATAGTTTACTTTCAAAGGCTTTGATTTAATGTTGAAAACTTCTTGATAATAACCTTTCTGGTGAACATCTGAGCCAAAAATCAGTCATCAGCTCTTCCAGATGGGGAGTGATGTAAATATTCTAACTCTAACTCACAGTTGGATTTTAGCCTTGGTTAGGTACTAACTTTCCAATAGCATACAGCTTAAATAGGATTATCTTCTGTTGTGAAAACTACTCCTGCTTAAAAGACAGCAAGCGTCTTTATTCAACTCCCGCATAACATGCTTTGCAATTAAAAGGAAAAAAGCAAACGCAAGTCGAAGCAGCTTGTTTAACTGCTAAAGTACTGCAGAAAATGTAAGGATACATAAATGTGTGAATAAATACATTTTTAGTAGTTGCTTTGCTTGGTATTTCTGAATATGTATGGACTGTAGTAAGAAACGATTACGGAAGAATAGTAAAAATATGCTGTTAACAAGTAACTACTACAGCAGTTGTTTGAATGATCCTACTTATATATGATAGTAATTGAAAGTAATACTTACAATGAAAGTAATTTCCTTTTTTTTTTTTTTTACCTCCATTTTAAAGCTGCCTCTCGTAAAAGGAGACTAAATGATTCTCATATAAATGGCAAAGAGAGTGATAAGCATATGACAAAAAAGCCAAAAGCTGATTATGTAAGTATTGTTTGTTCTGTTTGAGCGCTATGAAGTAAGTGGAGCTGCCTGACTTTTATCACTGACAGTTGTGGCATGAAGTTGCTAAGTGTTACCAGAAAATCCTATCAAATTCAAATCTGGCCTTCTGGATGAGTTTTCTGCTTCATTGTTTTTGGTGATGCCAAAAATTACTTGTTTTAATCTTCAGTGTATGTGCATTGCTGTTGCTTTTGTGGTTGAACTTGATGACAAGCAGCAGTATGTGCCAATTCTTGTGAACATCAGTGAGAGTTTAAAACTATAAGGCAGCTTGCCTCATCAGATCATTCCTTATTTTTCCTCAAATAGGTAGAGTTCAATATCTGGTGTTACTGTTGCCCTATGTTATAGGAGTGATTGAATCATAGAATCATTTTGGTTAGGAAAGAACGATGGCTTATGGAGAAGAGTGAATTGGTTATGTTAAAAGGAATGGTTACTTTGAGATGTGCTTGTAAATAGGAACTGTGTAAATGATCCTGGCACATTCAGTTTGGTATTACAATCCAACAGTACTATCATTAGACCATTGATGCATTGCTGGAAAACATGGGAAAATATTTGAGAATGGGGATTTTACATTACAGACTAAAGGCTGTATGAAGAATGAACAATTATGTCTGCATTGAAATGTAACTAAATTTTGTCTTCCATCAGAATAAAACAGAGAGGTCCAATTTTTGTGCTGACCATAGCTCTACCCTTACTGATACTGTAGGTTCAATGAGGGTAGGAACTATGTCCTCTGTCACCTGGAGTAATTTTGAGTGATCTGGTTTATGTTCTTCCAGCAGATAGTGTAATTCAGCTAAGTAAATATGTATCAGACATGTTGGCATCTCTGCTGTAGGTATGTAGATTGGTAAACACTTTGCATTCATGGAAGACACTTGCATAATTCTTTGTGCTGAGTACAAAACAGAACGGATTGTGGCATAACAGAAGCTTTGGCACTTGTTCATAAGGAGCCTCCCTTTTATTTCCCATTTTACAGTAGCTGTTAGTGTAGCTAATATAGATGAAAACATATTGCCAGGTTTTTGTGTGACTTAATGGCTCTGGTACACAGTTTTTGTAAATTGGTTTTTATATATAGATCTTCATATAACACTCCAATTGACACATCTATAGATTCTGGTAGGTTAAATACAGCAGTCATTTAAGATAATTTACTAACTGTGTACCTCTTGAATGTTAATACTATTGCCTCCTGCCTTAAGTATCACGCGGAATCACTGCAGACTATAACTTGCATTTTAAAGAAATGCAAGCTATGTGCTTTAAGTTATTTATGTTTTGGTGTGCAGCTTCTCATGGTACATGCTAACTAAGTAAAGAATGCCAGTCTGTCGTGACCAGAGACTTTCTACACTCTTGAAAGTTTTAGCCTTGAGTATTGTTTATATATGAGAAATCATTTCTGCAATTTGGATTTGCCTTAAGTGCTTTATTTGTTTAGAGTGGCTTGTTAAAGGTAAGCAGTATTGGTTCAGTTTGATTTTCCTCTTTTGTTTGTTTGTTTGTTTGTTTTACATAGCTGGATGGGTCAAAGTCTGAAATACAGTGGGAGAAGCAAGAGATGCTTGTAGAGAAGCTGCAAAACACATTCCCTAGCATGGATAAGGAGGTGAGTTTGTCTCCTGGTGGCAAATCAGCTTTTGATATCTGAAGAACACTGTATCTGTTCTTGAAGTCCTAATGAAACAATCCTTACACCAGCCGCACTTTCAGAAGGAGCCTGGGGTAGGAAGGTCTTCACTGTTCCTGCTTTTGGAGTGTATTTTGCCCTGAAGTGAGAGCAGCTGGAGATAATGAAGGCTAAATGGTACTTTTTGTCTTAGTATTTTGGTCCTGCTGGCAAGCCTGGCTTGCTTGTTCCTAGCCTTCCAAAAAAATGGAGTGCAGGTCTGTATAAACTGAGGGTATAAAAGTAAACCAAAAGGCTTTCTACTTTTGATTTCTTCTCTTTTGAATCCTCACACTTAGTGGGGTTGGGGGTGGTTATTTGACTTCTGCAATTGAAAGTAAGTGTTAGTGCCTCAATGTCACTATATATAGAATTCCAATATCTGGTTACCTTACCATAAAGCAAAATTTCTTGTTTTCTAGGAACTGAGAGATGTACTTCGGGAACATAACTGGGTGCTTCATGAAGCACGAGAGGCCCTGAGAGTTTTTGCAGGAGGCAGTGATGGTAAAGACAGATTTATAATCCATTTTATCCCAAGATAAAGCAAACAGGCTTGCACTGTAAATCTTTCCTCATGTCCAGCAGTAATGACCCTGGCTGCACTACATCTTGAAACTTGAATTAATATTTGAAAATAGTACTGCGGGGAGGAGAGTAGAGGTAAAAGAAGGAAACTGGATATTTCTCTACTTTACAGTATATATATATATATATATATTTTAACCTTTTTCTCTATAGATGTAGAGATTAGTATCTTTGCCTTGCTAATATAGACTTACTTATGAGTTTGCAATTTTCTATATCATAAAATATATTCTGAAATGTATTAAAGCTGTCAGTTGTTCCCATCCTGCTTGCTTGCTTTTTCTTTTAACTTGAGTAATTTGTTAATCAGTAATGGCCAATACTTGCATCTTTTTAAAATATACTGTAGTGTAAAAATGTATATGTATATATATATGTAAAATAATTATATTAATTGTTATTTAAATAATAATTATATTGTTAAAATAAAATAATACATGTATTAAATAATTTAAACCATTAAATTATTTAACACATACCAGCTTTTATTACTTATTACAATGCATACCAGTTCATTAATTGTGGTGCAGAGCAAAATCTATAACCCCAGGAAGATCTGTGCATGAGACCTTAAATACTATTTATTGAGTTGATAACTTCGGTGTTACACAGCTGTCAGAAATGCTATATCAGCTCCTTCAGTATTCTTGGGATTAGAATTGTATTCTTAATTCTATTCTTAATTCTTAAGAGGAGGGAGTGCTATCAGCATGCAAAAGTTGGTTCCTTACCTTCTCAATAAAGAGAAGAAAAAGCTTGGGGATTGGAGTGACTAAGTAGAAAGCTGGCACTGGGCAGGAGAGAATGCAGTGCATGTGACATGCAAAGAGGGGGGGAAGCCCACAGAATACAAATCCTTCTGAAAATGTTTTCTTAGAGCTAAATAATTTGTATTTTAGTTCAAGTTAGTAGAGTTCTTGCAGTTGACAATATGTTGTTCTTCCAGTTTTTTTTACCAGTTGTGTGTTTTTGTCTTATCCCATCTTTAATGCTGTACTGAGGTGCAATAAAATGGAAAAGAATTTATACTTCTGTGTATGAAAGTAGGCTTGTTTACTGAACTTAGCAGAACTCATTTATTGGCAGTTGGGCAGAGTGGGACCAGTGTCTCATTCCAGCAGTATTACCAGAACTCTTAAACTTGTAGAAGGCTGCTACTTTTCTGAAAGTGTGGTCAAGCACTGGAGTGGGCTGCCCAGGGAGGTGGTGGAGTCACTGACCCTGGAGACTTCAAGAAATGTTTGGATTTTGTGTTGAGGGACATGGTTTAGTGAGTGCTATTAGTGATAGGTGGATGGTTGGGCTGGATGATCTGGAAGGTCTTTTCCAACCTTGGTAATTCTGTGACTCTTACCTCACAGCTTCTGCAGCTCACATGTATGACGCCTACTTGCTCATTCTAAGATAGTTTTAAAAAAACAGTTATAATATTTGAGCAGTGTAAAAATTAAGTGTTCACCCAATCATAGTTGATATTGTTCATGTTTCAAACAGGATGGAATGGTATTTACTGCTGTTTTTCTTCTTTTGGTAAGACTTCTTGTTGAGGCATTGTGTGTTGATATGAAACACAGTTCTAATATTTTAATGCAAAATGTTATTTTGGAAGAACATGGGAGTTTTTATTTGCCCTTAACAAATACATACTGACTTGTTGCCTTCTCTATATCACATCTGTAGGTGTGGAATATCCTTCCCAAAGTGAAGTTTCTGACTGGACCAAAGTCTCTGCAAATAGCAGAAGTGATAAGAAGAAAGTGCAGCAGAAACGGAAATTTTCTGGGAAAGAGCAGAACTGCCTTAGGAAAAAGCATAAAGCCAAAGCAAATGTTTGGAGCACTAAAACAGAAGTACAGGACTCAGAGGATGAGTCAGCTGCTGAAGATGGTGGTAGCTCTCTTGACGAGGACTATGGCAGTGGCGATGAAGTGGTAGAAGGTGTATACAAAAATAAAATCCTAGGCTTCCTGCAAGATGCTTCTCCATCTGAACTCACTATGATTCCCCAGTGTTCTGAGAAAAAGGTTCAGAAGATAATAGCGCTCCGGCCCTTTAATAGTTGGGAAGCCCTGGTAAGTCTGCATTCTTGTTTTAACATCCCCAGCATGCCTAGAGTCAAGGTGTCTTAGGTCTAGAGAGGCATAGATGGGTGGCCTTAGCCTGATTAGGCTAAAATGCTATGTTCATTGTAAGCCAATAGCATTTCAAACAGTGTCATATGACCTAATTTTGAATGAATTAAGGGGTGATTTTGCTGAAAAACTCAAGCTGATTGGCTGACATTACTGCCACTCACTTTTTAGCATAGAAACTTGGTTGATTTCACTGCAGTAGGAGAAATAAGAGCTTTCATTTAGGAAGGAGGTGTTTACTAGCCTGTTCTGAGCTGCTTTAGCTGAAAACCCATGAAGAAGACAAGAATGTGGCAGAACTTTTACTGCAGCCTCCTCAAGGGTAGTTCCATTACTTAAGATACCAGCATGATTATTTTTAGTCTCATACAAGAAGCAGTTGTCGTCTCTCTTCTGCTCTTTTTTTTTTTTCATTCTACTGCAGCTTAGTTTCTAGCATGGTTTTGCTGGCTAAGCAGTGCAGCCATTTTTTTTTAGTGGGGGAAACTGCGGTGTTTTTGTTAATAAAGGTAAAGCATCAGAAGGATAAACCACAATCCACTAAAGAAGGGAAAGCAGTAGCGCTTGGTAAGTAGATTATCTATTGTCACTGGGATGTTACTTTGAAATGTTTCCCATGGGCTGCTTGTTGCCTTCACCTTTCATGCATTTCAGTTAACTGCAAGACATCAGACCAGATAGAAGCAGTGTTTTAATAAGAAATCCAGAGTGCTTTACAGCAGACTGTCTTGGTTAAGTTATTAGTGCTTTGGATTTTAAGGCAATAACTCTGTGTAGGCCCTCTTAAAGAGTAACTGATATGGTTATTTTTCATCAGTAAGTGTTCTGAAACCATCCCTATCGATGTATAAAGATGTGCTTGTGTATTATTTTAAGAATAGAATGTGATTTCATCAATATTCCTAAAACAATAACGTATTATTTGCTGCATAAACCGTCTTACCACAAAACGGTAAGAGTTGATAAAGAAACTTTTAAGAAAACAAAATCATGTTTGTACGTTGTATTGCAAAAGGGGGAGATAAGAGAAGGATCTTTGGAAAAAAAAAGAGAGGCACAGATATTTTGCAAAAGAAATCCGTTTTGCCTCAAGCCTTTGGCTTCTTACAGAACATCTGTCATATGGCAATTCCTTTCAAAACTTGTTGGGTTTTGCCTGAGCTTAATTCTTTGCAGAAATATTTGCTACAGGGCTGTTCTCTTTTTCTCTGTGTAAAATATTTAACAGAAAAACTGTATGGGCCTGTTTGTGTTCAAAATCTTTTTTTCCTAAAGGTTGCTGCTGTCAGCAGCTGCGTGTTTATGTAGTATTGTGAATACTTGCCTGGAGTAGAAATGATTTGCAGCAGATTTTAGCAGATGTTTAATGTCAGTGTTACTTAATTTTTTATAATGATCCAGTAGCACAGTGGCCCAGCATTTTTTTCTCTCCTACATGCTAATGGAGTGGTAGAATAATGTAGAGAGTTGGTTGTTTTAGTGTTTAAAGAAATTGGTTTATTTTTAAGAGTTTTTTTTTTTTTTTTTCCTTTAATATGAAGGTACCTGAAGCTTTTACTTTTGTAACAACAACTAGATGATGTTACTTTTCTTCAGGAGAACTGAGAAAGATCTTAGAGCTCTCAGCTGAGGTGAAGATAGATGGTATTAACAGGAAAGCCTACCTCTCCATAAATTAAATGGCTTCTTCCAGGAAAACTTAAAATAAAATACCATTTTCTTTCTAGAAAAAATTTTTAAGTTGCACTAAGACTGTTACTTATTCAGATGGTTTTAAAGTTTTCAGATGGATTTCAATGTTATAAAATCGCTGAAAATTCTTGGAATTGCTTAACTGTGTTTTTGAGTGGATTTTGAAAGCAGACGTTTAACTTGATTTGGTGACACTGCTTGGGTATTTCCTTGGGAATTTAGCTATCTGCTTCTTCATTTGTAGATCAGTTGCTCTTTGGACAAGTACTTGTGACCTCGCGTTGAATACACTATGCACTTAAAGAGAGTAGGTAGGAGCATCATATATTGGGATACACGATCCTAAAAAGCACGTATTTGAGTCTTCTGGTACTTGTCTTCACAAAAGATCACAAGAAGTAGAACCAAGACAAAACATGGATTTATAGTTAAAGGACTGTGAAGCTGAAATTAGTGATGTTGAGGAGCCAGTAGTTGTGCATCTCCTGGAATGAGAATTGGGGGTATAATGCAAGAGAGGCAGATGGGTTATGGGATAGACAAGGTGAATGGCTGTCAACAGCAATAGGACTTGTGGGAACTGGGAGCAAAGAGTGGGAGGAGTATTGAGGAATGTTGGCAGCCACTGGAGCGCTGCTCAGTGTGGCTCCTGTCACGGTAGTATGCTACCGTGTGGTTTACTTTTTTCTTTTTTAAATGGTGGCACTTATGGGCACACAGTGCCTTTCCTCCTCTCCCTTATTCTAAAAAACTTGTTGGTGATGAATTAGTTTGCGTCCTCTTCTCCTAACTGGTCCATATTGGAAACAAAAGCTCTGCTGTTTCCTCAGAAAATAAGTTGTGAACTGCAATTGTGTAACCAAAACACCCATATAGTATCAAGTGTTGGAGTGAGAGAGGGACAAAGAACGTGTCCAAGACTAGTTAAAAAGTCTGGAAAAAGCTGAGCTGAGCCTTTTGAGGGCTTGGTGTTTCTTGTTCTGTCATATACTTGAGTGCTTGAGATGCTGGAACAGGTTGCCCAGTGAGTTTGTGGATGCTCCCTCCCTGGACATGTTCAAGGCCAGGCTGGATGGGGCTTTGAGCAACTTGGTCAATGGGACATGTCCCTGCCTTTAGCAGAGGGGTAGGAACTTGATGATTTTAAGGGTCTTTTCCAACCCAAACAATCTATGATGCATTTTTGTTTTTACCTCTCATTTCTCTCAATCACAGTGGTATTGTTGAGTCACAAAGCAAGCCATCTCTTTTGATATTAATGATCTCATGTGAATTAAATGATGCCTGCATCTTTCAAAAGAAAACAACAACAAGAACAGCAAAAAAAAAAGACAAAACAACACCTGAAGATTCTTAAGGAGTTAATGGAGGTTAAACACAAAACACTATGTGGAAGTATAGGCATAGTGTATATAGTTTGTTTCTCTGTTTTAGTTCTTACTTTCTGCAAAAAGACGGGCTTGTCTATTGCGTTCTGTACACTGCAATACTGGATGAGCTAGGACCCTCTAAGAGATGGGAGCTCCAGCTGTATTGTCATTTTTTTATTCTGCTTGCCTCTACATTTGTAAACTCTTACAAAACTCAAACTAGCAAAAAAAAAAAAAAAAGTATATACAAATCCAGAAATCTTCCACAAGAAGAAACTGAGTGGAAACAGCAGATGTGTGAGGTTAGAAGTAGACACTGCTAAAAATAGAGTTGGGGTTTGTTTATCAAGGATGAGGCAAGGCAGTAAAGTGGAATCCTGAATCACTTCACTTTAAGTGTACTAGAGTGAACTGGAGCAGGCTGTGTCAGCGTGGTGTTACTCGGGCTTTGGCTCGACCCTCCTACAGGATGTTTCTTCAAGAAGATTGTATCTGTGATAGCCTCAGAGTTTTGGACCTCTTTTGAAAAATTCATGCAGTTACAGGACTGAGAGTCTCTGGTAATGCAGAGGCCATCCATGAATCTACTTGTGTTCTAAGTGACAGCACAACTCTGTTTTTCCACATGTAAACCAGTGGCTGGAGCGTTTCTTGTTGTAACTTGGAGATGAATGTTAATGTGCTGACATGAAGTAATTCAACTTTTTTTTAATACAGATGGCTTAATTCTGCACACATTTATTTATAGATTACAGGATTTATGTTTATGCCAACTGAAGCTTTAGGCACCAAAACAAATGTTGAAATTTCCTAATCGCCTATTGAAAATCATGTTCTTTGCAACTCCTTATTAAAGGGTGTCTGCTTTTTTTGCCTGTGTTGACATGTGTGCCTTAGCCTGGTTTAACCTATGACTATTGAAAAACTTTATGGATTTTGTTTAAAATAAGCAAAACCTGAAACAAACAAACAAAAAACCCAGAAACTGTGACTGAGAACTGTCAGCAGAGGGCATCGCTGTCACAGGAGTTTTTTAGAGTCAAACCAAGTACAGTCCAATTTAATTTATTTTGCTTTTTTACTCTGAGGTATTGATCTGTTAACGTATGATAATTCTGTGATCTGTTTTCACTTAAGAAAGGAATTCTAGGAGAATCTGTTTAAGTCTTGGGTTAAATTTAACATCTTTTTCTGAACTTTTATCAGGTACCTACATGGAGATTAAGTCAGATTTCGGAAGAGTGGCACAGCCAAAGATAACTAAAGCTGTTCTGTATTAATCTTTTGTACGCTGTGGGTGGACAGGGACTTGCAGCAGCTACACAAAGCAAAGTGCTTTTGCTCTGTCAATTTTAAGTAAAATTAGGGAGAAACTTGCTGAAAGCATCTGGCAGTACAGCTTTATAAAGCTTTGTGAACAGAAGGATGATAGGTACAATGCTGAGAGTCGTGAATCAGCATTTGATCTTCTGCTTCCCATTAACAGACTATTCACAGTATTTTTAAAATATTTTTTGTAGTTTTCAAAAATAACTAAGACTGCTGGCTTGTCAGAAGATATCGTGTGGAACTGCAAGACCCTGCTGAAGGAGAGAGATGTGGTTCTCAAGCTCATGAATAAATGTGAAGAAATTTCAAATAAACTGACAAAACAAGTAACCAAGATTACTGAAGATGGAGGATGCAAATGGAACATTGAGCAACCCTCCATTCTGAACCAGAGGTATATTTTATTTTATTTTTATGTTTCAAGGAGTCTTAGATAATAAGCTGTGTTTGAACTCCAGGATTTTCAGTATTGTTCCCTGTGAAAGTGCAACTGTAAGTCTCACTCATCAGATCTTGGGGATCTACACAGTGATGCACGTGCAGTGCTTGAGGGAATGCAATAAATATTTTCAAGTCCATCAGGAAAGCTGGTGAGGAGGATTGTGAATGCAACACAGTGATAAAACAGTTCAGTTATAAATGTAGAGTTTTGAGTGCTGGGATCCCAAGTTGTTCTGTTTTTCTTTTAGATAAAAAAGTGACAAAACCACAACCACCACTCTAAAGGAGATCCTTATACATCAAGGATGCCAAAATAATTTTCTTTGGTTTCAAAACAGAAGAAGGGGAATTGGTCATGAATGCTTTGTGGATTGTATGTTTTTTTGTTGTTGGTTTCACTATCATCAATAATATTTAATTAATTGTATATTCTAAAAAACACTGATTGTGTAACTGTTTTTAAATGTTTATCAATCACTGATTTAAAAGTAAGAAATTCATTGTAATATTCATTTATGATTGGTCAACATGTATAAGAATTCCAGCACACTGCTTAGTTCAGAAATGCTTTCTGATATTCAGCTGACTGGTGACATGGAGTTGGAGGTGCATTTTCACTACACCAGGAGATTTGGAGTGGATTAAAATACAAGCAATGTTAAACATTCTGTACTGTGATAAACATAAGTTTAAAAATGTTTCATAGATAGATAAACTAAAGACAGCAACATGGTAAAGCTGATATTCTTCTGTTTTCTTTTTTCAAGTTTGGAACTCAAGCCATACCAGAAGATTGGTTTAAACTGGTTAGCACTTCTTCATAAACATGGACTGAATGGTATTTTGGCTGATGAAATGGTAAGTATGAAACTGACTATTTGACAGTTGTTAGAAGTATTGGAGATATCTTAGTTATAATCTGATATGGACTTCAAAAAAAAAAAATAAAGGAAAACATTTTAGCTAGTACAATTCAAATCACAAACAAATTCTTCACATGTTTTTGCATCTTTTTCAATATCAGTATCTGCTAAGCTCTTTTTCTCAATTTGAAAGTTCAAGATAAATTGAGATTCATAGGTAGTGATAATTACAAGTCATATGGTCTCCTGATGTAATTAAACCAATTTGTAACACAACAGATAATTCTTGAACTATTCATTTTTATAGCTCTGTGCAATTAAACAGAAAATTAACTCTTCTTGACCACGCTGAGCTGTAGTAAGCCCATTTCTTCACCCTTTCTCTGTCAGTTCCAAAATTGATAGGTAACAATACAAAAAAAGCAATGCAAGCACTTCCTGCTTCTCCAGAATTTTAACCATCTATTGTCAATATACCCGTCATAAATTTTCTAACAGGATTAAAACCAGGAAATTTTACAGATTTGAGGTTTTGAGTGCTAGTTGCTTTTCATCTTGTGACTTAATGTGAACAAATGAATTGGTTTGCTCCACTAAGACAGAGTTTCTTCCATACTTTTTATGGCAGTAAGCATGACCTCAAGAAAATTTTCTGGTAGCTAAGATTAAACCTTTAAATCCATGGTATAAAAGACAGGTGAGTAAACGTTGGCAGAAATGTAAGCCTACTGCAAACAAATGTGATTTCCATATTAAATCCCACTTCAGAAGCAGCTAGAGTTAGTTGCGTGATTGGTTCTTATTGAAAGAAATGATTAGTTTCTAAATGAGTTGTTGTCAGAATCTCAGTTTCTTAAAGCTTTGATGATCTGAACTGAAATGAAAAACTTTGTAAATGAAGTAGGTGAATCACTGATGCTCAAATATCGAGCTGAAAAGGGAATTAACGATGACTGAAAGAATCATCTTCTGAAAACAATGCTGTTTAACAGAATGATTGTTCTATGCAGATCTGTAGTCTTCAGTTATCACTGATTATGTTGTAAACATCTCAGTAGTATGAAGCAGTTGCATTCTGGAGACTAAATTTTGTTTAAATGGATTTGTATTCTTGTAGGGCTTAGGAAAAACAATTCAAGCTATTGCATTTCTGGCCCATATCTATCAAGAAGGTGATAGTGGTCCACATTTGATAGTTGTGCCAGCTTCAACACTGGGTAAGTTGCAAGTATTGAAGTTACTTGACTTTTAAAAAAAGGAAAAGGAGAGAAATTGTGGATGGGCTATTAAAATTAGGATAACAATTTAAAGAAAGAAATCTGTGTTTTCTCACAATGCTTTTCAGCTCCTCAAGGAATTTGAAGCGGAATGCAAAGTGTAGTGCAAGTATGCTTGTTATAAATTAATTAGACCTTACATGGATTTCTTTAATATAGTGTGTGATTCACAAAAAATAATGCTGCTTGACAGTTACAGTTTGAACTTGTTTAGTTAAGTCTGTTATTTACTGAATATTGGCTGAAATTCTGTATCTTCAGGCTGAGCTTAGATACAATTTTTATTGCATTCAAAACATTCAGTGCCTTTTTCCTCCTTGATTCATGCAGTATTTTTAAAGCAGATCAAAATCCTAAAATGATGAGACAAATGGTGTGTTTTAATTTTGTATTTTGATTGTTTAATGAGAGATCAATTAAAAGTGCAAAGAATATAGTGGAATGAAGTACTTTAGCAAGGCTGACGAATTTTAGGATAAACTAGTCCTTTGGAGTTAAATTGGATTTACTGAAAGACTATGGAAAAGAGAAAGTAGCAATTTTGATTAGGATTACTGCTCTTAATTTTTGAAGCCAATACATATCTTACACTGCTAACATATCAAAAAAGGTTTCAGTCAGATCTGTTTGAAAATGCCATTATCAATATGCTTTTAAAACTCAGGTTTTTTTTTTTAAGTAACTCAAAAAATGCATGTAATTTAAAACCTGAGGTGTGAATGAGGGTGTTTTATGAAGTGATATGTGGAGACTCAAATTGTAGCAGCAACTTTGGCCAAGCTTTTATTATTCAGCGCTCTAAAGCCTGAAAAGTACAGTCTGCCAACAACTTCTCAGACTTTACTGTTGGAGGATCCCATCATCCCCAGGCTGGGTCAAACCCAGGAATAGGACAGATGGCAATTACCAGAAACCCCTTTCTGCAGTTGTGTGTGATGGTTTGAGAATAACACTCATGCACCATGTACAAAGATGTTTTTCTTTAGCCTGGTGACGTTTCTGGTGGCTGTTTTGATGGCTGCACACCTGGAAATTGATTGAGTTATGAAACTTTGCCAATTCCTAGAGGCATTTCCAATGAAATGATTCTAAATGAAAATAGGTGATAAATGAAGTGATTGCTTTTTGAGGAATTAATTCTTCTGGGGAAGGAATTGGTGAGGAGTTAAGCAATGCAGTAGACACTTAAGTTGTTTTAGACCTAGCAGAAACTGATTTCAATCAGAGTTTAAAGCATGAGCTACTTAAGATAGCAGGAGTCATATAGAAAAGGTTTGCTTATGTTAAACTGTTTTTGAATTGTTTAAGAAAGCTTCTAAATCCTTTTGAAGGAGGAGGCTTTGGAGTCTGACAGTAACTTAGCTTTGGTAAGTTAGCTTCCCTAAATGTTAACAGTTTTTCAGCATTTGGAAAGCTAATTCTTAACATTTGGGAGAATTTTAAGGTATTTGCTTTAAAGTCGAGCTTTAGTTTTAATGCTGAGGTGGTTTTGGAATTATGTAAGGCATAAGAAGAAATAACTTGGATTTTTTTATTGATATTTTACAGATAACTGGATAAGAGAAGTTAATCTGTGGTGTCCTGAACTGAATGTCCTTTTTTACTATGGTGAGCAATGGCATTTAGAAATTAATCCACTGATACAGTTGGATGCATGTTCAGCCTCAGAAAACATTAATTGCTCATAGAAGCGTTGTTTTTTAGATTATTTTTCTCATACAGGAAAACAGCATTAATTATGTGTATATAATCTTGATTTTACTATGTATTTAGATTTTACATGCATATGTAGTTGTACTCATGTTTTTCATTCCATAGGATCCCAGGAAGATAGGAAACATCTCCGGGCTGACATTAGTAACAGAGTTGTAGATTTCAATGTCATTGTAACTACGTAAGTATAGTAATAAAAAAGCAAAGGAAATCTAGTTACTGTCTACTGACCTCTAGTGATATAACAAGATTTGATCTCTGCCACTTGTATTTCACTAAAAGGCGTGAAGGTTTCTTCACTTTTTCTGTCTTGTTGGCAAGAGTTAAAGCCTATGGAGACTGCTCTTTGCAATATCACTGAATGAGGGAGGTGTGAAGTGTGCTTTGCTAATGTAATTTATAGAATGAATAACTAACAAGCAATATTTAGAATGTGATGAGATGGAAAAAGAATTTCATCTTCTCCAATTAATGATAAAAAGGCTTTTATTAATGCTGTAGCAGAGAGCGTGCATATTTTCTAATAGGTTTACATGGATTTTTGAAAAGTGGTATGAAGAGCAGTGGCTCATTGAGTAAACTGTAATTATTTGACAATACTAAACTATGTGTATAATCAATGAATATTAAGATGTTATAATTACAAAAAAAAAAAAAACAAGAGAGTTTGACAAAGCAGATAATGATAACAAAAAGAGAATAGATAGAAAGCTTACCCCTATCCTGGGCTCACTTACAGAACTCCAGCAGAGTGGCTCTCCAGAAGAAATCCTTCCCTGCTTGTAGCCAGCTCTTAAATAGGTCTAGGAGGGGTGCAGCCAGGCTCCACCCCTTCCTGCAGCACAGGTGAATTGCCTTCAGCTGTGCTCCTCTGGCTGACTCATGGCTTGCCTCAGGTGATCCATCAGAGGTTTAGGCCGTGACTCAGCAGTTCCCATACATATGTTGTGATTGATTATTTCTAGACAGTTTTAGTTAAGGTCTCTGCTGTTCTTTTCTGTAGTTCTTAGGATTATACAGAATGTAATTCAGTTGCATGAGCTGTATCTTCATGTTACATTTGCTTTTAGTGTTTCTTCTATGATTTATTTTTCTGACAGGTATAACTGTGCAATTAGCAGCTCAGATGATCGGAGTCTGTTTCGCAAGGTGAAGCTTAACTATGCAATTTTTGATGAAGGTCATATGCTCAAGAACATGAGCTCTGTACGCTACCAGCAGCTAATGAGAATTAATGTAAGACACTTAGTTGGTTGTTTAGTGGAAGGATTGGGGGGGTGACTCCCTGGAGTTTTTTTTTATGTTATCTTTATGGAGAGAAGGAGTTTACATCATGTTTCAGAAACTACAGTATGCAGGTGGACATAAGTTGTGGTGTGGTTTTAGGAGTTTGTCCTGCGTTGTGATCTCTTTCAAGGGGATGAGTTTCCTATGAGATGTAATTGGGTTCTTACAGCATTGGTACAATTAGGATAGTGGTTCAGATTCAGTATTAAGCAGTTTTCCAGTCTTTGCTTGCAGTACAGATAGTAAAATTGCTGTTCTGAAAACTAAAACGATTTGTGCTGGAATATTGTAGTATTTAAGGATGTATTCTGATGGGTCTGTACTAAAAAAGCTAACATTGAAATAGCTTTTTTTAGAAGTTTGCAGCCTATTCAATGTCATTTTAAAAGATAAATTTGGAATAAGAAGTAATAATAATGAATAAGAAGTAATATACTTACGATCACTTAAATTATTACAACTTATTTTTCAATATTTTCCCCAAAAGCATTTTTAGAAAGTTGATGTTTAAGCCATTAAATTGTCGCTTGTAACTGCAGTTGAAAGCCTGTGTGTAAAGTACTCTTTCACCTTAGAAAAAACAAAATATGTAGGCAACAGTTACTGCATTAATTTTAATTAAGGGAAAAAAACAAACAAACAAACAACCCAAAGCACAATACAGACAGGAAGGATTGTCTTACATCTGGGCTAAGCTTCTTGAGTAGTCTTATACTGATCTAAGGTCAGCTTTGCACAGATCCAAAAGCAAAGTTTTTTTTACTTCCCCCAATCAACTATTTCATAAGACTTACGTATGTTTAAAATTTAAATAGCTGTAGTTTAAATCAAGTTCACGTCAGTTCTCAATGGGTGATGTTTCACCTTTCAGTGTTAGTTTTTAACACATTCAACTAGTGTTTCTCACTAGTGTTATTTTTTTTTTAATTTGGACAAATAGGCAAAGCATCGCTTACTGCTAACAGGAACCCCAGTTCAGAATAACCTGTTGGAGTTGATGTCTCTCTTGAATTTTGTTATGCCACATATGTTCAGTAGCAGCACAAGTGAAATCCGAAGGATGTTCTCTTCAAAAACAGTGAGTGTTGTATATTCTTTCCTTGAAACTAACTTTTTTTATTATGTCACTGCTGCTAACAAGCAAGTGGTACCTTGTAGAAACAGGTGGTGAAGATCTAGAAAGTGAGACAGTAAAATAAACTATTTCAAGTGAACATATACCATAATAGGATGTCTCAGAATGCTGTCCTGTTAGGTCTGTCTCTTCTCGTTGAGTCCTCCATCAGCTTAGAAATTTTACAATAGTGGTGTTATTGCTGGAAACTTCACCCTGTAATTGAATTCTTGCAATATTTTCCATAGAAGACTGCTGAAGAACAAAGCACATATGAAAAGGAAAGGATTGCACATGCAAAGCAGATAATAAAACCATTCATCTTGAGAAGAGTAAAAGATGAGGTAATTATTTATTTTTAAAATAATGGTTCCTGGGTATCAGAAAACCTCATAATCTTTGAGGCTTGTGGAATTTCATGTCAAGTTTCATCAGTGCTGATTTTACATGTTTCTCTAGGAGGAACAAGAATCTTGTTACTGTTCATCTTGAAGTTTGCAAGAACATGAAATGCTGTGGTAGTTTTGAATTTCAATGCTCAGTATTTGTTTAATGAAGCTAGGAATTTCAGCTAGGAAAGATCACTAAAAGATTATCTGGTGCACTGAGTAGACATCAAGTGACTTCATTGTCAATTCTGAAAATTCCACTTGTTTGCATCCACTAGCACATATCTAAGGCTACTCTACAGGGACTGGACTTGCCTCTTGCAGTGGAGAGAGAGGTCTGGGACCTGTTATCCTGAGGATCATGTATTGCTGGTCATGTGAGATCATAGAATCACCAAGGTTGGATAAAACCGCCAAGATCATCCAGTCCAACCGTCCACCTATCACCAATATTTTCCACTAAACCATGTCCCCAGGTACAGCATCTAAACATTTCTTCAACACCTCCAGGGTCAGTGGCTCTGCTGCCTCTCTAGGCAGCTTTTTCCAGTGCCTAACCACTCTTTCGGAATAGTTTTTTTTCCTAGTGTCCAACATGAATCTCTCCTGTCTCAGCTTGAGGCCATTCCCTCTAATCCTGTCACTAGTTACATAAGAGAAGAGGCTGACTCTCTCCTTGCCACAACCTCTTTCAGGTAGTTGTAGAGAGTGATAATGTTCCCCTGAGCCTCCTCCAGACTAAGTAATGGTACTTCACAGAATCACAGAATTGTAGGGGTTGGGAGGGACCTCCAGAGATCATTGAGTCCAACCCCCCTGCCAAAGCAGGTTCCCTACAGCAGGTCGCACAGGTAGGCATCCAGGCAGGTCTTGAACATCTCCAGAGAAGGAGACTCCACCACCTCCCTGGGCAGCCTGTTCCAGTGCTCCGTCACCTCACTGTAAAGAAGTTCTTGCGCATATTTGTGCGGAACTTCCTATGCTGCAGTTTCCGGCTGTTTCCCCTTGTCCTGTCTCCACTCACCACTGAAAAGAGTCCTTCCTTGCCATTCTGCCCCCCACACCTTAGATACTTATAGACCTGGATCAGGTCCCCTCTCAGTCTTTTCTCAAGGCTGAACAGACCCAGTTCACTCAGCCTTTCTTCATAAGAGAGATGCTCCAGGCCCTTCACCATCTTTGTGGCCCTCTGCTGGGCTCTTTCCAAGAGATCTCTGTCCTTTTTGTACTGGGGAGCCCAGAACTGGACGCAGTATTCCAAATGAGGCCTTACCAGGGCAGAGTAGAGGGGGAGGATCACCTCCCTTGACCTGCTGGCCACACTCTTTTTAATGCATCCCAGGATGCCATTGGCCCTCTTGGCTACAAGGGCACACTGCTGGCTCATGGCCAACCTGTCATCCACCAGGACACCCAGGTCACTCTCCGCAGAGCTCCCTTCCAGCACATCATCCCCCAACCTGTACTGGTGCATGCAATTATTCCTCCCCAGATGCAAGACTCTACGCTTGCTTTTGTTAAACCTCATCCAGTTTTTTTCTGCTCAGCTCTCCAGCCTGTTCAGGCCTTGCTGAATGGCAGCACGGCTTTCACGCGTGTCAGCCAATCCTCCCAACTTCGTATCATCAGCAAACTTGCTGAGGGTGGCCACTATCCCCTCATCAAGGTCATTGATGAAGATATTGAACAAAACCGGACACAGAACAGACCCCTGGGAGACACCACTGGTTACAGGTTTCCAGCCAGACTCTGCACCGCCGACAACCCTCTGCGCTCTGCCAGTCAGCCAGTTCTCAACCCACCTCACTGTCCACTCATCTATCATCTTCCTCAAATTTGTTATAAGGATCATGGGGGACAGTATCAAATGCCTTGCTGAAATCAAGGCAGACTACATCCACTGCTCTCCCCCCATCCACCCAGCCAGAGACAACATCATAGAAGGCTACCAGGTTGGTCAAGCACGACCTCCCTCGGGTGAACCCGTGCTGACTACTACTGATAACCTCCTTTTCTTCCAGTTATCTGGAGATGACATCCAGCACCAGCAGTTCCATCACCTTTCCAGGGACAGAGGTGAGGCTGACTGGCCTATAATTGCCTGGATCTTCCTTCTTGCCCTTTTTGAAGACCGGAGTGACATTGGCTATCCTCCATTCTTCAGGCACCTCCTCTGTCCTCCAAGACCTCTCAAAGATGACAGGAAGCGGTTCAGCAATCACCTCTGCCAGCTCCCTCAGCACCCGTGGATGTATCCCATCGGGTCCCATGGATTTGTGAACATTGGTGTTGCCTAGGCGCTCTCGGACCACCTCTTCCCTGACCGAAGGGAGGTCTTCCATTCCCCAGACCCTCTCACTAACCTCCAGGGTCTCGGATTCCCGAGGGGGAGCTTTTTCACTGAAGACAGAAGCAAAGAAAGCATTCAGTATCTCCGCCTTCTCAGCATCCCCCATTACTAGAACACCCCCGTCACTTAGCAGGGGAGCCACATTCTCCTTAGTCTTCCTTTTACTGTTAACATACTTAAAAAAGCCTTTTTTATTATCCTTTATCCCCTTCGCCAGATTTAATTCCAGGCGGGCTTTAGCCTTCCTCGTCGCATCCCTGCAGGCCCTGACAGCATTCCTGTATTCTTCCCAAGTAGTCAGACCCTTTTTCCACATTTCATAGGCCTTCTTCTTTCCTTTGAGTTTGCGCACGAGCTCCTTGCTCATCCACACAGGTCTCCTGCCACCCTTTCCCGGTTTCTTCCTCACAGGGACGCACCGATCCTGAGCTTGGAAGAAGAGCTGCTTAAATGCTAACCAGCTCTCACAGGCCCCCATACCTTCTAACACCCTAGCCCACGGGATAGCTCCAAGTAGGTCCCGGAAGAGATCGAAGTTGGCTCTCCTAAAGTCCAGGATAGCAATCCTACTTTTTGCTTTACTTCTTCCACTCAGGATCTTGAACTCCACCATCTCGTGGTCATTACAACCCAAGCTGCCTCCGACCTTTATTTCCCTGACAAGCCCTTCTCTATTAGTGAGAATAAGGTCCAGCAGTACCCCTCTCCTCGTCGATTCCTCAACCACCTGCATCAGGAAGTTGTCATTAACACATTGCAGGATCCGTCTGGACCGTGCATGCCTGGCCACATTGCTTTTCCAGCAAATATCTGGATAATTGAAGTCCCCCATAAGCACCAGCGCCTGGGATCATGACACTGCTTCCAGTTGCTTGTAGAAGGCCTCATCAACCTCCTCCTCCTGATCGGGCGGCTTGTGCTCCAAGCCCCTCACCAGCTTCATTGCCTTTGTCTGAACCCACTGCAGGACCTCAATGCTCTCATAGTGAGGGGCGCAAAACTGAATGCAGTACTCAGTATCCACCCTCACCAGTGCTGAGTATAGAGGACTGATTTCTTCTCTGCTCTTGCTGTGAAAACACTATTCCTGGTGCAAGCCAGGATGCCATTGGTCTTCTTGGCCAATTGGGCACACTGTTGATTCATTCAGCTGAGCGTTAACCAATACCCCCAGATCTGTTTCCTCTACACAGTCTTCCAGCCACTCTGCCCCAGGCCTTTAGTGTTGCCTGGGGTTGTTGAGGCCAAAGTGCAGGATTTGGCACTTGGTCTTGTTGAACTTCATCCTGTGGGCTTCAATCCAGCCTGCTCAGAGCCCTCTGTAGGGCCTTCCTACCCCCAGGTGGATCAGCACTTCTGCTCAAGGTGATCTCATTTGCATACTTACTGAGGGTGTGCTCAATCCACTCGTCCTGGTTATCAATAAAGATACCGAACAGGTTAGTCCTCATAATGGACCCCTGGGTAATATCACTCACAACCAGTCGCCAGCTGGATTTAACTTCACCCACCACCACTCTCCGGGCTTGGCCTTCGGGCCAGTTCTTTACCTGGCAAAGTGTGTACCTGTCCAAGCCATACCCTACCAGCTTCTCTGGGAAAATGCTGTGGGAGACAGTGTCAAAGGCTTTGATGAAATCTATGTACACATCACATCAACACATAGAATCATAGAATCACCAAGGTTGGAAAAGACCTAAAAGATCATCCAGTCCAACCATTCACCTATTACCAATAGCTCCCACTAAACCATGTCCCTCAACACAACATCCAGTCTTTGCTTGAACATCCCCAGGCTCAGTGACTCCACCACCTCCCTGGGCAGTCCATTCCAGTGTCTGACCACCCGTTCTGAAAAGTAATACTTCCTAATGTCCAGCTTGAATCTCCCGGCTACAGCAGGTAGCTTGAAACCATTCCCTCTGGTCCTATCACTAATGACATGAGAGAAGAGGCCGACCCCCAGCTCACTACAGCCTCCCTTCAGGAAGTTATAGAGCACAGGAAGTATAGTTATACATCAACAGCCTTTCCTTCAACCACCTGACAAATCACTCAGTCATATAAGGAGATGAGGTTGGTCAAGCAGGACATGTCTTTCATGAACCAATGCTGGCTGGGCCTGATTCCTTGCTTGTCCTACACATGTTGTGTGATCTCCCTTATGATGATCTGCTCCATAACCTTGCCTAGCACCAAGGTCAGGCTGACAGGCCTGTAGTTCCTTAAATTCCCCTTATGACCCTTCTTGTAGGTGGGTGTTACGCTGGCAAGACTCCAATCCTCTGGGACTTCTCTGGTTGACCAGCAGTGCTGGTAGATAATGAATTGCCAAGCTGCTTTCCAACTCTGCCAGCTCCCTCAGCACCCTTTGGTGCGTCTCATCTGGCCCCATGAACATGTGGCAGTCCAGATGAAGCACTAGGTCTGTTTCTATCAGAATCGTGGGGAGGTTTATTCGTCTCAGACTTCCAGGTCAGGCTAGAGTACCCCATGGATAACTAGTCTGACTTTTAAAGAGAGATGTAAGGGAGATATTGAGAACTTCAGTCTTTTCTTTTTTTCCCAGTGGACATGTTCTCTCCTGCATCCACTAGAGGATGGAGATTCTCCTTAGCCCTCCTCTTACTATTTGTAAAAAAAAGTTTTTTGTTTTCTCTTAACCCAACACCAAGTTGAGTTCAAGCTGGGCTTCTTTCTGTCTCCCTAAGCATCCTGACAACTTCTTTGTACTTTCCTTGAGTTGCCCATCCCTTCTTCCACAGGAAGCAAATTCTCTTTTTCTCCTGGAGCCTCAGGAAAAGCTCCCTGTTCATCCACTCTGGTTGTCTTCCCCACCAGCTCATCTTGCACAAGGGGATAACCTGTTCCTATGCCTTTAAGACTTCCTTCTTCCAGAGTGACCAGCCTTCCTGGACCCCTTTGCCCTTCAGGTCTGAATTCCAAGGGGCCCTCCCTACCGGTGTCCTGAGAAGTTCAAAGTTTGCCCTCCAGAAGTCCAAAGCAGCAGTTTTGCTGCACCCCCTTCCTTCACCAGGAATCGAGAACTCTCCCATTTTGCAGTCACTCTGTCCAAGACAGCTCCTGACCTCCATGTTTCCCACCAGTCTTCTTCTGTGAACACCAGGGCAGGGCATCTCTCCTGGTAATCTCTTTTACCAGCTGTGTTAGGATGATGCAGGATGACATTTTACTTTAATTCAAAGTGTTAAGGCAGTAAATGATCATGTATACTTTTTTGCATGTGATGGACTAAAAACAGATTATGTTGCTATCATCCAAATGTTTCTTTTTCAGTTTAAATTCAGAACTTAGCTAAATCCTTCTTTAATGCATGAAGTTCTGAACAGTCTGGAAAAACATAATAATTTGAAGAGGTTCTGTGATTCACGTGCACTTAGAAGTCAGTAGGTTCAAAAATAGTTTGCTTTGATTAGCAGAAAAGTGGGTTCCTAGTAGTATGTTTTATTTTGTTCAGGTTCTGGTTTTCGGTTGGTTGTTTTTTTCTTTGGAAGTGTTCAGATCATGTTATTTTAGGAGATGTGTGATGCCTAATTCAAGACAAGTTCTGAATTTGTAAGTCGAACTACTGACTTGGTTTCAATTAGCAAAGTTGCAGCCAATGGAAGAAGTTGGCATGAAGGGAATTAGTAGAATAACTTAAGAGTAGGCTTGTAAAATAGAACCTGGTACATTTTTATTTTCTCAGGTCCTTAAACAACTACCTCCCAAAAAAGATCACATTGAATTATGTGCCATGTCTGAGAAGCAAGAGCAACTATACTGTGATCTCTTAAACAAGCTGAAGAAGACTATGAAGGGTAACGGTATATGATGGCTTCATTTCCTTTTGCTGTTTTTTTTTTTTTTCCTAAGCTTAGATTTCTGTTGAGTGGAACTACAAAGTTTTTGCTTTGTAAAGATGTTTAATGCTCATAAAGTGACTATATCCCTTGTATGATTTATTTTTAAATAGCAGAAATATTGAATATAAGGAGTTTTCCTTAAAACTAATGTTCTCCTGAGAGATGAAGATGCATCCAGATGTGTGCTGCTTCTGAATATACCTTATTTTTTTGTTGGCAGAGAAAAACTCTGATATGGGAAATGCAATGATGCAACTTAGAAAAATGGCTAATCACCCTCTCTTACATCGTCAGTATTACACAGCTGACAAACTCAAGACAATGTCTAAACTTATGCTCAAGGTAAGGTGATGAGATTCAGCAGCAGTCTCTGATTCCTCAGAATTTTTATTGTAACTTGAATTTACTTTTATTGTCAGTCCTTAGATCAAAAGTGTGTCTTTGTAAACCTTAATTCATTATTGCTGCTTTTTGTTTTTCTGCATCTATCCAGCCAAGTTCTGTGTGTTTTAACACTCTGTCTTCTAGAACCAAGGTTAAATGGAGAGAATAGTTCTGAGATTGCAGTCATCATCTTTTCTATGACCGTTACCCTTTAACACCTCTTCCCCCTAAATCTAAACTTAAAACCATAATACTTAAGAAAATGTCTCAGGAGGAGGGCATCTGGTTTTATTAGTGTTTTCTGAGCAGCAAGGAATGTAGGCGATATAGATGTAAAAACAGGGCACTGATGTATTCAAGTATTGAGGGTTTTTTGGTCACACATCTGCAGTTAGAGCCTGTGGAGTTGGGGAAAAATTACTGCATCTTTCTAAAGTGCAAACAAAAGAGATCTTGGGACATGGAGGAGGGTGTACTCTGAGAAAGCTGCAGTTGGCTTTGAGTATCTGTAGCTTTGCTAAAAATAAACCCAGTCAGGGTTGGGGGGAAGGGAAGAAGTCATTCATTTTTATGAAGGATTCTTGTCCCTTTTTTATTCCTTCTCATGCCATCGTACTCTCCAGATGTGGCTTTTCTTTTCCTCTTTCTTCCAGGCATGACATCCCTCTACCCACCCTACATCTTGGGCTGGGCTTCCCATGTCTTCTACCATCTAACCAAGGATTGGATCTCCCTTTTAGGGAGTGTGTCTTCAGGGGAAGAGGTCTGATACAGGGGCAAAAGATCGTAGGGCTTGATGAGAACTAGGTAATGGCTGTGGAGGTTGAGAATATACTTAGTTTTAATAGCACAAATTCTTGTAAGAGTTAAATTGTAAAGTGACAATCTTCTATTATAAACCTGGGGTTGCAGATTTCATCTTCTGTTGCTTGCATGAGCCATGCTCTGGCATTTGTCAATGTCTAGTTATGCTGCTTTTTGTTCTTACAGAAACTGTGGATGTAATTGGTTTTTGATTTCCTTGTCTGTGTATCAAGATTGTATATTGTATTGTTTTCCTTCATTTTTGCTAATAGGAACCCACACATTGTGACGCTAATCCTGACCTTATCTTTGAAGATATGACAGTAATGACAGATTTTGAACTGCATTTGCTTTGTAAGCAATATACTCATGTCAGTGACTTCAAGTTAGATATGGATCAGATTTTGGATTCGGGAAAGTTTAGAGTATTGGAACGCCTTCTATCTGACCTTAAAGAGAAGGTTTGTACTACAAATCATTGAAATGTCCTTTGCTGTCTTTAGAATGGCTGGCACAAAAAAAAACCTCACCATCTGGTCACAAGCAGCTGTATGTGCTACTCAGTTGCTTTTGTATGGAGTATTACAGTCTGATTTAATGTGTGTGCAGTGCACTGCTTTTAACATGTAGTCCTACTTTTGCACTTTGCTCTATAGACAATAAGATTACACAGTGAAAGTAAGCTTCCTCATTTTTCAAGTGTTGAATTTTCTAACCCAAGTTAACATGACAATTAGTAGGTAGGCACAGTGTTGCTTTCACAGCTCATAAGGGTTGAATCATCTGACTTTCTTTTGGCCTTTGAATAAGACTATTAATTTGGCTTAATACATGGCTGTTTTAACATGAACATAAGGTGTCATTTTTTTGAGTTACAAACCCAAATTGGCTTATTCTGCAAATAAGCATGTAGCCAAATATTTCAACAGGAGCTATGATATGGAAAACAGCTCAAATTTAACAGTTTTTAACATATTTTTATAGGTCTGTCACTCTTGCACTTGACTTGTGATTTCGAGGTTGCTTAATTGACCCAAGTACAAAATAACTAAAAAAACTTCTGGCTCTAACTAAAAGTGGATTAACACAACAGAAATACTGTACATGTTTTATTAAAAGTCAGTCTGCAGTCTTAGTAATGTCAGCTTCGTTTTTCAGTTTGGAAATCAGGGATTCTAAGTAAAATCACTTTTTAAATGCAAATAATACATTTGTCTAGTTCATCACTTTAACTAGAGTGTTTTAAAACTTTTGTTTTTCTATGTCATTTCCAGGGTGACAGAGTTGTGTTGTTTAGCCAGTTTACAATGGTACTGGATATCTTGGAAGTTTTCCTAAAACATTGGCAACACAGGTATATTAGGTTGGATGGAAAAACACAGATTTCTGACAGGTATGTGACTTATGTTTGTTTTCTGAAGGCAGTTGAAGAAATGGATTTGCCATTTGCAGAGAGGATCTGACTTACTAACCTTTGTTTTCTAACATATAGAATTTTGTATTTGCTGGGAATTTACTCTAGTAGGAGTTTAATGTTGAATTTCAGATTGCCTTAACAAGGTTGAGGCTGAAAGGTGAGTTTAGAAGATCAGATTGTCGTTAGCATATCCAACTGGAAAACTTTCAACTTTGCTATAAATGATGTTTTGATTTGCTTTTATGTCAGCGTGACTTTTGTTAAGGCTCACCTGTAGACACTTCCCATTTCCTGGAATCTTTTTTCAGATGCTCTCTTCTTCTTTCAATAATCAATTTATTGGTATAATGTTACTTCCCACTTGCAGCTGAAATCTCTACTCTTCTTAACTTTCAAGTGCCATTAGTGCAAGACAGTTGTGAACCTAAATTCTTCACTGTCCTGTCACCTGTTTTGCCATAGTCCTCCCCACCCCCTTTTCACCAGCTTATTCTTTGTATTCCGTGATGATAATCCAAAATCTTATTCCAAACATCACTTCATTCTTTGCTCTGTCTTACCAATCTTTAAGTATGTTCTGGTCACCCCTTAGAATTGTCACACCTTTTCCTTTATGCCTAACATCTGTACTTTTGAGTTGCTTTGCAATCCCCCTGGCCTCTTCCTCAGATCATAATTATAACTTCTATATTTAACTCTGAAGCAAGAGTTTTGTTGTTTTCTAAGACCTGATGCATGTGTTCCTATGTTCCGTAGGATACATCTAATAGATGAGTTCAATACAGATATGGGTATATTTGTGTTCCTCCTGTCAACCAAAGCTGGCGGCTTGGGAATCAATCTGACTTCAGCGAATGTTGTTATTCTTCATGACATCGATTGCAATCCATACAATGATAAGCAAGCAGAAGATCGATGCCATAGAGTAGGTCAAACAAGGTAAGACTTCTTAGTTATAGTGCTTCTCTTGGACGCAAACAGTTTGATTTAAAGATTCCATTTTAATCAGATTTCTCTAAGCCGTCTCTGGATTGCTTGGAATAGTTGCAGTTGTCTTACAATTGCATGGTTGTAGGTGGAACTAACCTTAATTACATTCTACTCTAATTTTTCATTTTTCCGCAGTTCACATCAGTTCTTAGCACCAGAAATTTATATGAAGACTGGTCGCAAGTCATTGGAACTGGCTGAAAAAGCTGGTTGTTTTCTTCCAAAGACTTCTAAGCTTTAAAATGCTGTAGTGCCTTGAAGAAAGGATCAGTTTTCTGCTCTGTATTCTTCACTAAGTAATAAGTTGAGAGCCATAGAATGTGTTTAGTAAATGGTATTTTGCCTGTAGTATTCAGTTATTTCTATGAACGTGAATTTTTTGAGACCATACAGACCTTTGTGCTGGCTGAGGAGAAAACAAGTTTTCTGTCAGTATGGAGCACAACTGGTCCAAAGAGGGAAACTGTCTGCTTTAGTATTGTTGTAAACTATTGCCATTCAAACAAAGGCATAAGTTCTTTCCTTTTACACTGATCCAAAGAAACTGTAAATATGTACTTATCCTATTTTGTGCTTTTCAGAGAAGTAAAAGTCATAAAGCTGATCAGTAAAGGGACTATTGAAGAATCCATGCTCAAAATGAATCAGCAGAAATTGAAGTTAGAACAAGATATGACTGCAGCAGATTTGGGTAAGTCTCTTGCCAGAAATGATTTCACCTTACATGAGTTAAGGAGATCACTGCAATATATTATTCCAAAAAACTGCACTCGTAATTAAGATGAGACAATTTTTAGTTCCACTTTAAACTAGAAAAATGTATTGTGCCAGTTTACTTTTCTGCTTGACAGGAGGTGTCCCTTGCATCTAACACGCAGACCAAATGCTTGCAAGTAGAGGATTGTATACAGTTTTGAGATTCTAGACTTTCGTAGTTTATGTAAAATACTTATTGCTCTACTAATGTATGTTTTGATTCTTCAGGAGAAGAAGGGGCCATTCCAGCAGATATAGCCACGCTATTGAAAGCCTCATTAGGTCTCTAAATTGTAAATATGTGGAATTTAAGGAAGAAATGAAATGCCATACCCCCGAGGACTCTTCCGTTATTGATGACCATGAGTTTTCTGAAGTTTTATAACTTTTTGTAGTTTCTTCATTTTATTCCTCATGGTATTGATAATTTTTAACACTGGTAGCATTCTTTCGATGCTTGAAAACATAAACAGTACAAGTCTATCAACATCAGATGCTGAAGAAACATAATTTTACAGGACGTTTTTCAAAATGGGGACCTACGTAGTAATTGTTTTAATAAATCTGCTACTGCTTAAGATTTGTCAGTATTTTTGTAATTATTTCTACCTCCAGACGTATAAATAAACTGTCTGTTTCACTGGATTATGCTTGTTGATTTCTTTTATATGTGCCTTATTTGACAATGCCTAAGTCTGTTTCTGCTTGTTCTGGTTCTTTTGACGTACTGTCCTGGTTTTGTATCAATTTGTTCAAATAAAATTCCATGCATTATCAACACGTTCTCATGTTGTGGTTATTGGGAGAGGAGGGTGGAACTGATAACTTGCATGATACAAATCAGAGGCAGCTTTCAAACTATCCAAAGTGCTCCATTTGACCTGACTTCTCTTATCTGTTAGTAAATATTTACTATTATCTCATTGTATTCAAATAAAAGTTGCTTTAGAATACAAATTATGAAAATGGGAGTTCCTGCCTGTAGCAGAAATGCTAAGTCACAGCCTGAAGCAGTGATTGAACACCTGGTGGAAGGCAGGGCCAGCAGGGGAGCTCAGGTGCATGCAATGTACCTGAGTGATAGGAAGGGATGGAGCCAGGATCTACCCCTTCCCAGACCTTAGTTAAGGGTTGGCAGTGGATGCAAGGGTATTTTCTTGAAAATCCCTGTGTACCTGAGGCCTTTTTGAAGGTAAGAAGCATCTTTTCTTTATTTCTGTCCCTAAAACTGCTGCATTTGAGCAGGTCTTTGCTTGCTGCAGCCTAGGACCTTGCTGCTCTGCTGTCATGCTGTCACTGCTGCGCTTTCCTTTGTATTACAGTGACGAGTTTTGTGCTCAGGTTGTAATTTTCTTAGTCAGTCCTGGAGATACCAGGTCTACGGTCTGATAGTGAAGTGCCCTAGTCACAGAACTTATGTCACAGGATTGCAGAACTGTAGGGATTGGAAGGGACCTCTAGGAATCATTGAGTTCAACTCATTTCCTAAGGCAGGCTCCCATAGCAGGTTCATGGCTAAGTGTGCAGGCAGATCTTGAGTATCTCTGTAGAAGGAGGGTCCACTATCTCTTAGCACATCTTGTTCCAGTGCTTTATCACTGATAGTAAATAAGTTCATTCTTGTGTTAGTGTGGAGCTTCCTGTGTTCTAGATTCTGTTAATTGTCCCTTTTTCTTTTGTTGCTCGTCACCAAGAGTCTATCTCTTACGGCTTGGCTTCAACACTTGAGATATTTATAAACAGTGATGAGATTCCCTCTCAGGAAACAAAAAATTATGAGGAGCTACAACAAGGCATGCAGGAATTGCAAGGGCAAATGGAGACTGCATATTCAAATCTATACAGGAACGAACCTTGCTTCTTTTTCTGCTGATACCTCTTAGTTTCTGAACTGCTTAGTGGTTGGTTTATGTCACTTATAGAGCTAAGTGAAATAAGACTCATTGGAGTGGGGGCAGGGGGAAGGAATAGCTGTAAAGGAGAACAATTTCCCATCATTGTTCATTTTCAGCCCAGTCTCTTTTAAATGGATAAACCACTATGAGCAGTGGAGTCCTCTTACAAGTGATTGTTTTCCCCTTGAGCTTGGGTAAACCTATCTCATCTATAACTATCCCTGTTTTCAGCAGCTCCACTGACCTATTTACCCTGTTGCTAGAAGGACAAACCTTTGGCATGTTCCATGTATTTTGTTCTAAATTTAGTTTTCACCCCTGCCACTGTTGTTTGTTGGTTTTACTGGATAAATGCTGAACAATTGAATGTTTTTGCAGCTGGTGTGCTTATGGCTGGTGCTGATGTGGGCAGCGTCTCAGCTGAGCAGCTGCATTTTTTTGTAATGGCACAGCAGGAACTGCAGGAGGCTAAGGAAGTGTTGGAGGAACTTGAAATCTCTTGAGCAAGTGAGCAGTTTTCATCAGTGCTGCCTAGTGTTCTTAATCCTCCCAAGCACTTCTCATCTTGTTTAACCTGGCTTCCTCGGCAAAGTCAACAATAAACAGGAAGTATCATTGAGGTTATATTTGTCAGTAATATTTATTATTGTTTCTTCATCTGAGTACTTACAGAACATTGACTGTGTTTTTGAAGCACTTTTTTAGTGATGAAGGGAATGCTTTTGGAACAGCACCTCTACCCAGGCTCTACTCTACTAGATTCTGATTTGGTCCTGCACACTCACCTGAAATTAATTTAAATGATTCTAAAATTAATAACTTAGCACATTTGTAATGTTTGAAAATCAAAAAACATGCATTTGTTTTTGCAGTGAACAGCTGATCTAAATTATTGTCTTTGGTCTTTTCTGGATCCAGGCTGCAATAGCGGGCAGTGCTTGCACTCTGTCCCTGAGAGCCAACAGCCTGGGGTACTTGTCTGCCAGGTCAGCTTTATAGGATAGGAGCGTTGTGCTGCACACATCCCAGTAGAAATCAGCCCAAGTTACCTGGTGGAAAGAGGAAAGAAGTTGTAAACCTGAATTGGTAATCTCAGAAAATTAGGACAACGAATATTTTCAGCAAAAACGAAGCTAGGTTTTGGGTTCTTAAGTTACAGAGATAGTAACTGTGCTGCAATGCAAGGATTAACTTGATTAAAAATTAGTCAAAACAGGTTCTTGCCACTAATATTGTTTTTTCTTCTTTTTTTTTAGTACTGACTCAGAAATCAAGCAGTGACTCTATGCAGAGTTTGTAACTCACACTTCCACTAAGTAATGCAAAAGCATTTAAAATGTCTTGTATCAACGTCTAGAATGGTTTAGGAAATGCAGATCTATTCTGGTTTGCTTTCTTTTTCTGATGGCGTGAACAGCTTTCACTACACAATGGAGCAACCAGTTGTGTATTGGTAAGAAAGAATTAAAAAAAAAAAATAAAAAAAAAATAAAAAATCAAGTGACCTGTTTTTACAGGATTTCATTGGGATAGCGTGAAATCCATAATGCTAACAGTAGTCACAGTTGCATTTTACTGGTGGTGTCATTGGGATGAGAGAAACCAAAATTATACTTACAGATTTCCCTACAAACCAATTTTTGTCTCCTAAGAAAGCATCCAGGTTTTTCAGCAGCTCAGGGCCTTTATTGGTGAGGATGTCGTTAAAAGCTTTCTCCTGGGGGAAGAGCAGAATGCACGCAGCGATCAGCAAAACTGGATTCTTGAGGGTTTCTTAGGAAAAAAAGATGCACAGGGAAAACTGGAAAAGCTGATGGATGCTCTGATCCAAGTAGAGTTGTCACATTCCTCTTTGGTGGGAGGAATGTGTTAACATCCAAGTAGAGATCAAGAATGCAGAGAGTGCAGTTATTTAAAATAATTTGGTGGCAGCTGTGTTGTCATTGGAGTACTTGCAAGAGGATACTATGCAATGCAGGAAAGCTGAACTACCTGAAAAGCTTGTCACCTGCCTGAAACACCCAGCGCTAGACTCAGTGAGCTGTGCAGAAAGGCAATTTGTTTCCTTATTAGCACCTAAAGAATGTTGAGATCTCCCAAAGATGTGTGTGGTGATGCCACTCAACAACCTGTGACAACGTGGCAGGAGCCCTGCCATAGATTTGGGAAGAATTTGTAGCCATTCCTCTTGTACCATCCCTCCAGTTTGCAGAATCCCATAAGCCCGTTCTTTTCTGCTGTTGGTCAAGTATTGGTCAGTTGTTTTTCCTTGCCATCCCTCCTAGTGTAAGCTATGAACCAGACTTTTGCTGGATGTGACACTGAACTTTCGTGTTAGCAGGTTGTTCTTTTTTTTCTTTTTTTTTTTTTTTCCTCTCATGCCTCAGTGAGATTTGAGGCTAAGTCTGTATGGGAGGATACCTTGCACGTTGATGAGTTAAGGATAAGACTGAATAGCAGTGGTTCTCCACTAGCTGTTGCCGCAGCAGAAGTTTTTAAGGCTACTAGTAAAGGGTTAGCTGTTTCCTTTGGGAATAGCTACTTTTGTCACCTGCACAAAGTGATTGAGATCACAAATGACTGTGATTATCTTTTTGGCATCTGTGATGATCTTTTTGGCACATTTTGTGCAGTTAATACGTGACCTGGCCACATACTTAACCAAGCCAAAATTTAAAAGCAGCAGCAGCCTAACCCCAAAAATGCTGGCTGGAATACAACCTGTATTTCTGCAGATCAGACTGAAGTCTTGGCATCTCCTCCTGCTGTCTGCAAAGAGCCCTGTAACTCAGCAGAGGAGGTTGAGGTGAGGCCTTGTGGCAACCTACAGCTTCTCGTGAGGGACAGTGCTGAGCTATTCCCTATGCTGATAGCAATGGGACCTAGGGGAAAGGCAGGCATGGAGCTGCATCGTAGGAGGGTCAGGTTGGGTGATACAAAAAGGCTCTTCTCCTCTTCAGAGGGTAGTGGGCATGGAACAGGCTCCCCAGGGCAGTCATCACGGCCCCAAGGTGCTGGAACTCAAGAGGTATTTGGAAAGCGTTCTCAGACATAAGGTGTGATGTTTGGGTGGTGCTGTGTGGAGCCAGGAGTTGGACTCCATGATCCTTGTGGGTCCGTTCCAGTTTGGGATGTACTATGATTCTTTGAATTTGAACTGAGTGCTATGTCTGCAAGTAACAGCCACAAGTTTGCAATTCAGAAATGTCAGACTTGCAGCCTCTGCTGTAACTTTTTTTTTAATATTGCCACCCTTTGCAAAATATACATAACGAATGAAATCTCGTTACTCTCTAAGTCACTGTCCTTTTGTGCATCGACCACAAGGTGGTGGCAGTGGACCCAGGGAGATCTATTAGTGCCAGAAGTGCTGCAGACTCCCAGAAAGCAATTTTCTAGACCTTTTGGCCTCCCAAACAGGGTCATGCAGTGTATGTGCACACAGGCACATGCGGGTTGCCTGTGAGCACTGCTCCCTTTCACGTTGAGCACTGGAGGCACTACCCAGTTTTTTATTTTGGAGAAGTGCCTTGGGACAGCTGGGTCACACCCAGTGATGGAAGAACAGGGACAGCAGTTCTATGGCTTACGTGCTCTACTGCACTACTACACCAGCAAGGCTAGTGTTTCTAAATGTCCAAAAACTATGAGTCAACATTCCCTTGCCAAACTAGGGGGAAAATTAGGAAACTCCAAGAGGTCTTTGCAAAGCAAAATAATTAGCATTTTCGAGTACTAAAACTTCAAACTTCAGATTTTTCCCAAGAAGGTTTTGTAAGATTTCATTGTTTTTTATTAGTTTGTGAACATTTGGTCCTCTATGGTTTCTGTGACACAGCATCCCAGTCAGTCCAAGATGTTTGGATAAGGAAAAGGTGGCTGCTCTGGTAATTAATGAATGGACATGCTGCTACATCACAACTTTGCTGAAAGTGTTGTGTCATCTCCGGAGGTCAGAGCCCTGTGAAATATCTGCAGTGCCAGCATTAACTCACTGTTCCCTGAGCAACAACTCTGTAGGTTTGCATTTAAGGATGTGATGAGCAAGCACTGGGAAAAAGAGGGATGCCAAAACCTCAAGTGATCTAGGACTTGTCTGTGACTGCATTCGAGTATCACAGCCATGCGTTACCATGGGCACTGGTGTCTGCAGAAGATCCACACTGGATAGTGGTGGGGCCAAGGGTTTCTGAATTTTTCTAAAATATTATGAAGAAACCAAGGTGTAGGAGCACAAAAAGAAAATGGGATGGAGCTGTTAATCACACTGAATTAGCAAAGGCACAAAGATTTGAGC